CTGTTGTCATGATTGTCAACTTCACTGTCTGCAATCTGTAAAGTTGAAGAGTTGTTATTGGAATTGAACCCATGACCTTGGGATTGGAAGGCAGGCACTTGTGTTTTCAAGTACTAAATCTGCCAATGTTTTCCTGTCTTGGATAAGACTCTTATTTTTACCTTGTCCTTCCAATGAGATGTTAAGCTGGAGTACAACAATGATTCTGTCAATGAAATTGTCATAGAAGATATTTTATTAAGGCATACTGTACCTACCAATCTATAACATGCCAAGTCCACTTTTTGTACATTTCTATTGAGTTACTCATTGACAAACAGTTGTTTTAAGAAACAAGATTGCTAATTACACAGAATTGATATATAATTTTTTTTTATAAAGCATTATAAAAAAGTTCTATCATATTACATTATTTATCTTGCATGGTTGCATTTTTACCTCTAGGTTCTAGAAACAGATTTTGGCTTACAAGTAACGTGGGATGGATCTAGAAATGTTGAGGTCAAAGTTCCCTCAACCTTCTTCAATTGCACACTGGGATTGTGTGGTACTTATGACAAGAACAGCACCAATGACCTAACCACACAAGATGGAGAGATAGTAAGTATAAGATTTAATAATGTATAACAAGTTTCTCTCTGTGAAAGGGAAGTGAGGATGATTATGTAAGATTTATATTTAATACACCTAAGCAGGTTCTGCAAAAGAAAAATGGGCATATGTAGGTTGCTTGCTGATAGACTACCAACATAAACTTTGACTTCTGTAATTTAGGATGAAGTTAGAACATATTTAATTTATGTTTCAAATAAGATAAATATAGCCGGGTACATAAAAACACAATTCAGACAATTATTTTCTTCCTGCAACCACTATACTATACATTGACCCCATTTCTTTTTTCTATACTTCCACATAGATTGAAAGCCCAGCTTTATTCGGCAACAGTTGGATAACCAATCCTGTCGAATGTCCCACACGTCAGACAATTGAGGATGACTCATATTCTCCGTGTAACGATTCCTCGTCACTAGAACCTGAAAGCAGGTGTAGTCTCATAGGAGATACTGAAGGTAAGAAACAAACGTTACACAATGCAGATATATCTACACATAAGTGGAACATAGGAAATGGAATGAAATGATTTTAACCCTGGCCAGCATTCTTAGACATGCTGGTGTTAGCATAGCATAGCTCAGGTAGCTAAGAAGCATGGAGATCCTTTTAAAACTTTGATCCTTGGTTTAGTTCCTTTGATGCTTTACTTGTGGTTCAACTGGAGGGCTGAAAGACAAGGTACAATAGTGCATTCCTAATGATGACCTAATTAATGTCAAGATATTGAATCCCAACACGATGGTGTGCATTTCAATACTTGGAGTATGTATTATACTTTCTAGTAGTGCATAGTCTTTCAGATATTATTTAATTTGTCAGTCTTTTGTGCAATTTAGCCCATTTGCATGTCAGAAATGCAGCACATTCTTTGAAGAAGAGCAGAGGGTTTCCTCCTGTTCTATTGCCCAATTTACTACTGAAAGGATCCTATTATAAATAAGTCTTTTCAGCGCAAGACAAACTTCATTTCAACTCACTCATATTCTGTCATTTATAATGGGTGAATCAGTATTGGCAATATCAGGTCTATATTTTTTCAATTTTTTCTAAGTGATTATATTAATAGAAATAAAAATAATAATATAATACTTTGCCGCTGTTTTGTATTTTGTTTTTTTTACGCGAGGGCCCCATGATTGTCAGCTAATCGCTGTTTTGGGTTACCCTCAGTAAATAAAGTTTAATAAAAATAAAATAAAATAAAAATTATTCTGTCTATTTTGTGATTGCTTTTCTTGATAAACCGACTAACTGCCAGCACGTGACTGTGCCCACGCCCAAGCGCCGTCCTCATTCCTTTGTCCTTGGTCACTGAGCAATGACCACACCCGATGATTGTTGAATAAAGTGCTAGGAGAGTTTGGAGCTTTCATAGCGAAGACGTCAAGAGCTTGGATGCTTTTGCTTAGATTATATTTGTTAGAGATATAAATACTTAACCTAAATAAACTGAAAATGTTCCATAAGGGAAAACCCCATATAAAAAAATAGAACCAACCATCCAAAATGAATGAACTTACCGGAACGAGGGTTTCAGTTGTGTATTATATATTGTTGTATTTTCATATTTCTTTCCTATTTTTTGCTTTTTACAGAGGTTTTTCAGAATTGTTCCAACGTTGTTGATTCTGTGCCATTTGTTGCGGATTGCATTTATGACAGCTGTGGTACTTACAATGACGAGGAATCCCTCTGTCAAAATCTAGCTGGCTACTATCAAGCTTGTGTTGACAGAGGTCATAGACCATTTAAATGGAGGGATGAAGATCTCTGTAGTAAGTACTGCGTAGCCCTTTTAATCGCGTGTCCTTAGTCTTTTGCGATTTTGCGATAAAACCACAATCACGAACAATTTTAAATGATACTTGTGTCTTGATACTTGTCCCATAGCTAATATAAAACTGATATTCCCTCAAAGATTTTGTGCAAACATTCTTGCTTCTTTGTGCAGTATTTTTTAAATCATTGTAAACATTGTAAAAGTTAAATGCAGTATTATATGAATGACTAATTGTAACAGTGAAGGTCTATTTCCCCAGCTGAGCATATGTCTAGGCCTAGTTCTACCTTAAGGTTGAATAAAAATTGCAGTTTACGGATATTCCCATTAGTTGATAAATAACTATTACAATTTTGTTTATAAAAACATATCAATGTTAGGCCTACATTTTCTGCAAGATTTTAAACAATAACATGTCGCTTTAAAAAACCTTGGTCAAGCCTCCACACTGCAGGCAAACTGGAGTAGCTGAAGTAGGCCTGCCTAAGCTAAGCTAGGAATCGGGAGGGTAAGAGATTGCTAAAAAAATTTGGAAAACCCATCAAAATCGAGAGCTCTAGCTATAATATAGGCTGAAAAAACATAATGGTAGGTTTCTGCATCATGTTAAAAACGATTGGAAATCGTAAAATCTCAAAAATAAAAAGACACGAAATATTTCAAAATTTAAAATTGCAAAAATATAGTGCTGCAAAAAAAAAGGGCTGTACAGTGTTTCTGATTTGTGATTACTTACCTGGATGAATGGATATTTATATCTTGCTTATAAGCAAGATTCCTAATGGTACTATCCCACATAAAATGATGGTCTAACCTAGGTGTATTTTTATACAGTAACTGTACTAGAATTGATGAGATGTTAATAATGATGGTTAATTCAATCTTGAAATCATCATCGTATGTTCTTACCATGGAAGAATTAGTTTACACTAACTTTGCCTAAATGAACACTAATTTGCATTAGTGTTTAGTATGCTTTTACGGCTTTTGTGCAAAAAGCTCAATCAAAGCTGCTGTTTACATCATATCACAAGGCAAATGATTGCTTTCAGGCCTGTGAGTATTCAGACCGTTTTTCTGCCAAATAATAGCTGCTCTTTCAAGGATTTTTAAATATAATTTTAATTGTTTTGGTAGTTAGAAAAGATTGTCTGTGATGACATCATTGCCACAAGTCCTGTTCCTAAAATAAAGAGTTTATATTTACAATGTTCGTAATTTTGAGATGTTGCTGTAATTGCATATCATTGTTATAAATATTATCAGATATTATTATTGTATAATTTCTTCTGAAGACCTGAATTGTCCAGATGGATCTGTGTATTCTGATTGCGTTAAGGATTCAACAACGTGCTATGATGCCATTACGGGAACACCAAGTGAAGGCCCTTCGAATGAGCCTTGTCGCGAGGGTTGCCAGTGCGATGAAGATCTGTTTCAGGATGGGGATGACTGCGTGCCCAGAGAGGAATGTGGCTGTGTAAATGATGGCTTATATTATTCGGTAAGCACAAATTACAAGTCAACCAGTGGGACACAAATGCCTGCCACTATGTTTTTTTTTTAACACTTCAGAAGGATTTTATTATTATTTTTGCATTGTATTCATACAATTCCGTGGAGAATGCAGTGTGGAGAGGCAGTGCAATTAATCATTTTAGTGAAACACCATTCAGTCAGCCATTGACAATCAGCTGACAGAGTCATGTCATTAAAGTCCACAAAGAACAGAATGGATTCATCGGCCGATGGTCCTATGACCATTGGTCAACACAGTGTACGCCTGACTTTACTCATTAAGAACCATATGATTTTTATTTTTAGTCTGTAGATAGAAAAATTATATTATTAATGCACCTTCTAAATTGATGCATTTCTTATAGATTGGTGATGCTTTTTCGAATGAAAACTGTTCAATGTTATGCGAATGCCAAAGGGGTGGGTCAGTGACCTGTGAACCCCAAACTTGCCATGAGAGTGCTACATGTGTTCTGGATAGCGGCCGCTACCGGTGCCGGTGTTTGGAAGGTTACACAGGCAATGGATTGACATGTACTCCATCAGTTTGCGAGGGAGAAGGTAATAATACTGTCCAGACTATCAAATTTTGAAAAACTGTTGTATGACCATATATGGTCATGATGAACCCATATATGGTCATGATGAACTCATATATGGTCATGATGAATCCATATATGGTCATGATGTAAGTTGTCATGACCCTGGTAAAGCACAAATAACCTTATTATTATTTTTTTTTATGTCTTAACATAAATGAAATTTGATATTATACAAACACTAAAGTTCAGTATTGTTTATGATACTATGTTCAGTGGAACTTTTAAGTGTTATTATGATTTACTTTTTCTTACAGCTATTGAACAGGTTTCGTGCACGGGACCTGAGTGTAGTACCGGCTGCTTTGAGTCCCCTAACTTCCCGAACCCTTACAATAGCTCTTACAACATGTTGTACTTTGTCACCTACCAAGGTGCCTCGAACCTGTTCTTCCGATGCAACCCACTGTTTGAAATTGAAAAATACCGTGACGCTTTGTTTTTCGGTCCGGGTAACGATCCACCAACCTTGAATGATTTGAATGAGGGCATTGCATATCCAATCCAGCTGTTTGATGGTGATACCGCGCCAAAAGACTTTTCAGTAGAAGGGGATTCTGCTTGGTTTTTATTTAGTACTGATAGATTTGTAGAGCTAAGTGGATGGCGTTGTTGCTGGGTTGCAGGTAAACATAATACCATTATTATTTTTATATATTCTACATTGCTTCTATATATTGTTGTAATTTGTATAAAAGAAAGGAACTTTTCTTTTTATAGGACGACTTTCTTTTTTAGAAGGGCACTGTACTCAAAAGCTAATTTTCACATGATCATTAGTAAACAACAAGGTCACTTTACAGGGGTCTTTGAGGAACTGTCCTTGCAGAGTGAATGAAGTGTTTATGAAACCTTTTTATTGAAACCTACCCAGATATTTTATAGATAACATAATTAATTGATTTTTGTATTTATTATGTTTTGAAGCTCTGTCCACAGAAGTTTGCATATGACAAATATAGGTTGCTCATAAGGGAAATGGTAAAATATATTGCCCTGAGGTGATGTGGAAACGTAGCATATCTTGCTGCGGGTGTGAGGGAAGATAGGATAGGTCTCCACATCACCGAGGGGCTATATATTTCACTGTTTCCCAAATCTAGAGTAGTCAATATTTGTTTTATATACCTCATACATAGATTCTACAAGACCTAAAAAAGTAATGAAAATAGTACACACCAAGTAGGCCTAAGGCTTACTTCCTAGGTCTAGGCAATCAAAGGGCCAATCTCTGTCAGAGTCATAGAGGTCGCGTCTGCCATTTGTGTCATAAATTACATAGCAATGCAGCCTAGAGATTGCAAAAAAAGTAGTAGGGTCATAGTACTTTCTATTGCCCGCTTCTTATCCAATCAGATGCCCGGAATCTATGTATGTGGTATAAAATGTGCAAGATACCCACATATGGATGTGATAATAAGACATATGAATAAAACATACAATCACAATTTGACATACGTCAAATCATTGTTTTAACCCAAATTAAGAAAACATAACGTTTGCTGTTTCCATTTTAAAGTAACAATACTGTCGACGATAATAGTAATTAATGAGAGCAGCATGGTTAAACAGCTGGTAGCTACTGTGTGTGCACTGAACTGTGAAAATCCTATCAAATCCTTGGTTCAATTCCTTTGCTGCCCTCATTGTGTTGCAGCTAGAGTGCTCACTGCTGTTAGAAGAGATGTTTTAAGCCATTGGTCCTGCCAAGGCAGTTCAACAAAAGGACGCACATCTCTGCTCTCGAACATAGCGTGTGCATACAGTCCTTTGATATTTACTTTGGGATCGACAATTCGACACTAGTTGCGAATACAGTTGTCAATTATTAGTCTATGCGTACCATACGTTTTATGGTGTTATTGCTACTTTATTAATTTTGGATACTTCGCAATGTCTGTTACATCTGATTTCTTTTGACACAAGCTTGTTAAATGCTTCTATAAACTGCAATTTGATTTTGTGAAAATTGACCAACAAAATGATATTTTTTTATGAAATATCATGTTCTTATAACACTAAACTGTGATTTTGACAATGTTGGACTAATGCTGCGTTCATTAGAACTTGTGAAAACTGATTTCACAACTTGTAACATGCAATTACACAAGAAGAATGCATTCATTTGATGAACGCTAAAATGGCTGCTGTCACTCTTGCAATGTGTTCGAAAATAAAACATACAAAAAAACTTTTTTTTAAATCTGAAATAATATTACTTAAACAAATTGCAATAAATATGTTGGGTTGCAAATAAAACATACAAACAACACCCTTTCTTTATTTGAAATAATATTACTTATTAAACAAATTGCAATAAATACCTATGCTCGTTGTGCATAGTTTGTGTTACATCCGCCATTTTCCACACTACTTGTGCAAATTGAGGAAGAAAATTCTACTCGAGTTCACAACTTGTGTTTACAAGTTCACCAACGAGATGAACGCGTTTCACAAGTTGTGAACTGGGAAACACCGACTTCACAAGTTCTAATGAACGCAGCATAAGGTGCCACAAACGAACATTATAATAGATACAGAAAATTTATTCATTTTTTTCTGCAAAGTAAGTCTCATGAGCAACAATACACCACAACATCTGTAAAATTAATGTTGAAATAATGAATATAATTTCGGTTTAATATTAGTGAAAAGTATCATTAGGCCTTTGCAATCACCGCACAACACGCAATTATCATGGCAACTAACATGCTAACTATTTCGAAACACGCTGATGGTTAAATATGGTCTGATTGCTATGGGTTTTGTGACGTTCAGCTTGTAGGGACGCGCGGCCTGTAGAATGTTCATGCCTGAGTTATAACCTTCGATGTCCTGAGATGTGCAACCTTTTGTTGAGTTGCCTTTGGTCTGCTTGCAAAATAGCCTACATGCATCCTAAATTAAAGACATAACTAGTAAACCTCTTCGGAAAATAACAGGAGGTTGTCTGCCCAATTCACCACCAGAAAGACTCCATTGGTCTTTGGACTTTTGTGGGTTTTCCTTGGTGTTTTTACATCAATGAAAAATAACCAATACCAGAGTTGAAATTTAGAAATTATAAAAAAAAGTATTACTCTAGGATATCCTGATATTAGGTTGTTCACCTTATGCTAAGAGTGCAAGAATATTAAATTATAAGAGCATATTGTTCCCAAGCGGAGACAGAACGACTGCTTTTGTCCTAATGAAACTTAATGTAGACAGTTTTCAAGGATGAAATTCGATCAAAATAAACAACTGCCAGAAATGAAAATGAAACTGATATAAAAATAGTACATTAAAACTGGGTTAGAGTAATGTGAATGTTTTTGTCACCCATCATTTTTCTTATAATGAGGTGACTATTTTTAGGAGAGTGGAGAATTTGTTCTTATGAGTTATTACACATGAAGCCTTATGTTTGGCTTGTTATGGATTTTAGATGCATTCAAGATACAAATTTGTTATGATTATCACAATATATATATATATATATATATATATATATATATATATATATAAATTATAATATATAAGTATATACAATAATAAGTATTTTTTTATTCTTTATCAAGATGACCCATGTGCCAGTTTTCCTTGTGAAAATGGCGGAGAATGTAAGAAGCTTGATTATGTAGTGGATTCTGATGACGAATACATTTGCATCTGCCCTCTTGGCTTCACAGGAGAAGAGTGTGAAACTGGTGAGAGAAATATTCTCATTTACACAGTTCAGATGTACTGTCTGTGAATAAATCCTAAAAGACAATTTAATTTTCAAACAATTGCGGTGGCATATCTACAAGAGGGGGCCCCGAATTCAAAAAATTCTTCTCCCCCACAGGCTCCCGCACTGGAAATTTGTTGAGCAGAGGAATTATGCGCAGCGGAAACGGACGGTTTGGTTTCCCAAACTTGAGTTCTGGGTTTCAGTCCCTCGCTATGCATTTTGCTTGTGTCCTTGAGCAACGCACTTTATCTGCATTGCTTCTCTCCAATCAGGAGTATAAGTGGGTATCTAAGGAGGTTGCAAAATGTGCTGATATATTTCATGCAGCAAACTATGGGATTTCCACCATAGGCATTGTTCCAATGCCTGGGGTAATAATGTGGAAAAGCGCTCTGAGACGTAGTTGTACAGTATAGAGTGCTAAAAACCTACATATTTTTATATTCTTATGCTCAAGTAGTTAAAAATCTCCTGGAATAAGATTAATTTGCCAGCTAATTCCTCTTACTTTATCATTGAACCCCTGAACTTACTCATTCCCCAGCCCCAAATTGGTTCCCCTTCCACATGTCAATACTCTTAGATACACAACTGAATATTTCATCGATCCCTAAATTTATTTTGAATTAATTAGTTATTTAATAATGTGCAGGCAGTGTTATTAGGCTTTAAACTGTCAATCAAAAGATGAGTTTGAGACTTAGACAAATTGCTTAGTGCCCTTGAGCAAGACACTTTATAATATTAAATAATTTAAATGAAGCATTAGGTCCAGCAAGGCCTTAATGTGCATCACATTATTACATTTGGAGAGAGCAGCTTATTTCAGTTGGCTAAACTGGAGGTTACTACTGTGTGTGCGCTGAACCGTGGTGAAATACAAGTTACATTGGCATACCGTCTTTCGGATGAGACGCTTAAGCTGTTTTTCCAATCTGCATTTACGGCCCATGTGCATGTTAAAGAACACAGTACACTCTTTGGAAAAGAGTAGATGATTGTCTCCCAGTGTACTGCCCAATCACCACCAGAAAGACCCCACTTGAGATAAGACTTCATCTAGACTTTAATAGGCTATCCTTGGTGTTTACACCGAATAAGTCCAATCCAATCCAATGTATTGTAGTGGTTCTATGAAATGTCGAAAATACAATTCTATATTTTCTGTTTTATATTTAGCACAAGGCATTTGTACAGTATTTGGTGAGTATCATTACACAACATTTGATGGCAAAGAATTTGACTACATGGGAGATTGTGAGTATGTGTTGTCTGTAAGTGTCAACCAATCAGAATCAAGCTTTAGAATTCTTCTCAACAACCAAGACTCAAGATCTCTTGAAATCCAAGTCTATGATTTAGTAAGTTTTAACATGTTTTTGTATGTAGCTGTTATTTCTGTCAAGCTGATTTGTTCATAGATATATTTACAATAGTCAAATATAAAAAAATCTAGTCAAAAATACAACATAAACCATAAATTTCTCACATAAAAGGGTCACATATCTTATCAACCAAATCATAATGAAAGGAGGCCTTTCAACACACATTTCAGTGCCCAAGCTTTGGAATCAGTTACCAAAGGATGTAGTGAATTGCACATCACAATTTAAATCAGGTCTAAAAAGCCGTCTTTTTATTAAGAATTAAAGCACTTAAAGACTTAATTGTAATTTGCGATATACAAACTGATTATTATTATTATTTATTATTAACTTCCAATGAAACTTTGATTAAAAATAAAAATCCTTAAATTCATAATTAGCCAGTAAGGGTCTATGACTATAAAATATTGAGGAACTATATTATTATAAAAAATAGTTAGAAAAAGAAAATGTATTCGATCTTTATCTTTAAACTAACGCTTTGTTTTCTTTTTATAAAAGAACTTTAAGTTTATTTAACCTTTTAATTAAAGCATATGGTTGACAAGTATGGTAGTTATTGTTTGTTGTGGCTTAAGGTGCAGTTTTGATGACCATTCCCTACTATGTATACTTATACTAGCACTGTTGTACGAACCTGGGATATATATTTTTTAAGCATTTAGATTTTTAAAATCAAACCAGTGGCAGTGATTGGCTGTAGTGCATTCATTGATATAATACTACAGTAGTTTATTACGAATAATGTTTGCTCAAGCATTGAAATTCTTTTTAATAATTTCCTATCTTTCTAAATAAAACATCCTTAAAAACCATTAGGGGTGCGGAAATTGGTTCCTGTGACCTTGACAGTAAACAAACAGGTGACTTAGTTCAAAGGAAGAGATTATGATTTATGATAACATAATTCAGTGACATGAAATTGACCTGAGTGGATCCATTGTGATCCTAGACCTAAAATCTATCTGACTTGATATGAGCATAATGATGTCATATCACACCCATAAACAGTGGTATATGTAGGAGCCTTAAAATGAGGGACTTATGGGGGTTCAAATTTGATGGGGGGGAATGATGATTAGGTGAGTTGGAATAGCACTGGCTCACAAAACAAAGTGTTATTCTGGGTGGTGGGGGGGGAGTGAGTAAATGTTAAGCGTGTGCACTCGCGCACACCTTTCTAGATACGCTACTGCCCATATACACTGTAGGCACATCTTGGGTATTTTTAACTAATCATGACAATATTGTGGAGAGAGTATACCACATTAATCGGAATATCACATTATCAAACTTCCTTTAATGTTTGCATTGTCAGTATATTAAAAAAAAAACATAAATTTAGTTTTAAATTAGAAAGTGGTGAGGGAGGGTTCCCTTCATAATACATTGTCAAAGAAAGATTAACACGTTGACTGTCAGACCTTGTTTTTCATAGGTTATTTCTCTTGTGCCAGAACAAGTACAAACATATTTTTTTGAAATTCTATCTAGTCAAATATCATCAAAATGGTGTGTCTCATAAATTGACTGGAGAATATTATGAAACGAGTAAACTTGTTGCTGGCATTCGGACAGCATTTTTTATTGTCTCTGCCAAGTGCAAGTTTTCTCGTCCGCTTTTTGCATGGGTTGCTATAAGTTCAGAGGGCGCCCCCACTCGTGCAATCAAGTGTACTGCTGATAACACAACAAACATACATCCGTTATTTGTACGTTATCGTCTAAGTATATCTTCCCCGAACTACCAGTCGTTAAGTCTGTTTTTCTTCAATGCATAACAAAGAAGTAAAAACGTTAGAATATTACCTCGATTTTGACGAGTAAAGTCGTGCCTAGCGCCCTCAGCAACACCCAATGTCTTTGGCAGCCAACGTGTTAAGAATATTTAATTGCTTATCTATTTTTTGGGGTCGCTACGGTCTAATCTGAGAGCTAACATCACAAACATGACTGAAAACATAGGAATTTAAATATAAATACAAAGGATTTTATAGAACAATAAATGTATTTACACATTCACTTATAAGACTTATGTGGTTTAGGATGTTTTTATATGTTGCACTGTAATGGAAAAATCTATTATTTTCAAGGTAAGTTCCAGTCAGTGTACTTTGGCATATACTGTAATATTTTATCCAGCTATCTCATTCATGGACTACCGACATCATTATTTATAATTTAGGAAAAAATATCAAATCTTTTTTAAATATATGTAATTGTTAAACTTTGAACATTGGATAATTTTCAATGTACTGTAGCTATAAATTATTTGTTAAATTTGTCAAACTACCTAATTATTGACTGTAAAAAAACGTGCCTTATTAATGATTCTTACAAAATGTAAATTTAAAGCTATAAGATAATAAACAAGATAAACAATATACACTATATAAGCATTGTAGTGTAATATGTAATAATTATTTGCATTCTTCAAACTAACAATAAATCAATCAATCAATCAATTACACCATTTATATGGCGCCATTCTGACATTCTACTGGTATGATAATATATTAGTTAATACTGAGGGGTCATTCACTATTTATCAACAATTTTACAAGTGTACAAACAGTATGCCAGTGGGAAGATGTAGACAAACTTGTATACTTTTACATATGCATGAAAATGTTGATTCATTATGCAATATTTAAAATAATAGATTACAATAATTTTAGTTGACTTCACCAAAAATAAGGTATTGGAATTATTAGCCAACAATCCCATCGCCTGTAAGTTGGAACGAAGAGTTCCTGTTGGACGATTGTTTTAAAATAGATAATAAATAAAATAACTTCACCAAAAAAAAAAATCACAATTTTTTATATATACTTTCAGAGGGGAAGGGGGTACCAAAAAAGAGTACAGTTTTTACACTTGAGAAAATATTGATAAATTTGTGAATGACCCCTAAAACACGATTCCTACTAATCGGGCCCCCCCCCCCCCTTTCTGTCGGGGACCTCGGTTCTTCCATTGGGCAAATCCTAGTGCCACCACTGAACGAGCATACGCGGTTCTACCATTGCGAGCATTGCTCCTCTAACTGGAGATAAATTAAGACTATTTTTATTTAAACTTCAAGATTTTAAATGATTTTTAATAAATTTTACAATTTGCAAGTATAATCTAGTGGTTAACAAACAGCTTTAGGATGGTGTGTAGTCATAGCCAATCAAAAAACATCTCAGCTTGATCATTACACTACATTTTTTAGTAGATGTGCAAGTTTCCCAGGAAAGTTTCCATGGAATATCTTGCTAATAATTCCAATACCTTATAGGAGTCCTCTTAAAGCATATGTAAAGCAGACAGAATTTTGTAGGGTGTTCTTAAGTATGGAGCCCTTACTTGAGTAGGAACTTAATATTACATTCATCTGTGTAAGTTCGCTGTTCAGGTGCTGATGCTATCTGGCATGTTTTTGAGTCTGATCTATTTGTTGATAGTATGCTCTTGCTAAACTCAGGAAGAGGCCTTATTGTATGAAACTTATCATAGTGACCTGTATCAAGCGATTCATATATCTCATTTTCATGGCTCACAAAGTCTTTTGTCGTATCCCCAGTTCCAATTTCTGCATAGATATTATAATCATCCAAAGTCTTGGAAATAACTGATTCTTCTTGGCCACCACAATCATAGTCACCACTGGAATTCTCAACTTGCTCATACTTATCGTTAATATCCTCATAGATAGTACAGTTATCTACATAGTTTTCCTCAAGTACAAAATAAGCTGGAGCGTCTACCGGGCATTTCTTTGGCAAATTATCCAGCTTCTGAACACTGCTCTCAACATGATTCTCGCATTCTGAATCTATCGCGGAAGTGTGTTTTTTTAGAGAGTCTGAATTATGTCCAGGCTGCATCTTGTTAGAAACAACATCGGGTAAATGTTCGTAATAGTTAGTGTTAACGGGAGAAATTTCATCATTGTAAGTATCCAATGCGCTATCTCTCTGTCCACTCACATTGTTCAATTCAACATATATTGGATCGGTGTTGCTGTTATCTGCGGTGTTTTTATTATCAACATTGTCGTCACGATATGGTCGTTTGTAAATGTAACAACCAAACATTATCAGTATTAAGAGGCACAATGTGCCTCCGACAATCAATACCATCACATACACAGGTATTGATTTCCGGTATATATTCCCGCTTTTTCCGACTTTCCATGGGGTAGGTGTGTGACCATGGTTTTCCGTCAGAATTTTAGTTGACGGTAAAGAATTGCTGGTCGAGGTTCTGTAACTTGTGTTGTCATTGATGTCAATTTCAGTTGATGGTAGAGTCTCAATATATGGTAAAGTCACACTATCTTTACCAATGTCATTTTGGGAAAAACAGGTAATATTTGTATTATTCATCATTTGTGATGGTTTAGTTATTGTTAACATTGAATTTGTGGATGTTATTAGGTCTTGTTCTGTATGATGAATCAGGTAGCTTGGAGTAATTGACCATCCAATACTTAAAAAGGGGTTTGCATCGACAGTGCATGAGAAGATATTTTTAGACATCCTGGTTAGTGTAACTTCAGGCTTGTAAACAACATTTAATGTACCAAATGTACAGTTTTGATCAGAAACATAACACTCTAAAACCTGTCCTTCATCTGCTCTTAATGGTTGATACGATACTTGGTACTTTCTGTTAAATATGGTACTTTTTCCTGAAACATCTACTCCATTTCTGCGTATGATTGGTTTCTCCGTTGGTTGATTATCATCAGTGCAGACAGCTAGGTCTTGTGTTTCTTTCCAAATTTTTTTTTTCGGGTGGCATAGTGGTGGCTCCAATCCATATGAATCAAGAATTATTGATAAAAATAATGGAATACCCAGAATTGCAGGCGTTAGGCTGTTGAGGTGAAGAAGACGTGTGTTAGAAAAGGCAAATAAAATTAGTAGATAGTTGCATAGGCTGGTTTTGTCAGGAGGAGGGGGATGCTAAATTGTGAATGCAGAACTAACTACCTATTCCTGTGAGAACATTATGGTCATTTATTTCATCTACTTGGCACAGCTTGTGCAAGAGAGCTCCTACCTAATCCCTTTTATGGTATAATTCCCTTCCTCATAGACAGTAGTCTATAGATATTGCAGTGCTAATTTACTTTAAGGGATTTTTTGGCATTGGTTATGAATTTGTAGCTTTGTAGTGAAGATACTTGCCTCTTCACCCCCCCCCCCCCCCCCCCCCCCACCCCCCACCCCCCAGCACCCCCCCTCCCCCATAACACTCTAAAACCTGTCCTTCATCTGCTCTTAATGGTTGATACGATACTTGGTACTTTCTGTTAAATATGGTACTTTTTCCTGAAACATCTACTCCATTTCTGCGTATGATTGGTTTCTCCGTTGGTTGATTATCATCAGTGCAGACAGCTAGGTCTTGTGTTTCTTTCCAAATTTTTTTTTTCGGGTGGCATAGTGGTGGCTCCAATCCATATGAATCAAGAATTATTGATAAAAATAATGGAATACCCAGAATTGCAGGCGTTAGGCTGTTGAGGTGAAGAAGACGTGTGTTAGAAAAGGCAAATAAAATTAGTAGATAGTTGCATAGGCTGGTTTTGTGAGGAGGAGGGGGATGCAAAATTGTGAATGCAGAACTAACTCCCTATTCCTGTGAGAACATTATGGTCATTTATTTCACCTACTTGGCACAGCTTGTGCAAGAGGGCTCCTACCTATTTCCTTTTATGGTATAATTCCCTTCCTCATAGACAGTAGTCTATAGATATCAGTGCTAATTTACTTTAAGGGATTTTTTGGCATTGGTTATGAATTTGTAGCTTTGTAGTGAAGATACTTGCCTCTTCACCCCCCCCCCCCCCCCCCCCCCCCCCCCCCCCTTCCACCCCAAATCACATCACAGAGAATTTTCTCTCAATCGCTTTAAAGAACAAACCATCCATTGCAAATTTTAAATCTAATCTCAAGAAATCTTTGGTCTCTATATATGGTGAGTAATCGCATCTTGAATCTTGGATCAAAATCTTGAATCGCCTACTTGCATCCATACAGTATATCTATATTCATTTATTGATTTATTGATTTATGTATTTATTTACTATTTGTATTACTATTATAATTGTTATCAGTACAAATTTTTATTGTATATATATTTTTTAATTATAACGTTGTACATGGAGGTCAGCCTTAAAGTTATTTGAACTTATTTGACCTTCATCCACACACATGTTTATTTTAATCTTATTTAAGTAATTTTGCCTATATTGTATGTTTAACTGTATATGATTTGATGTGTGTGGAAAATTAAATAAACAGAGTTTTCTGCATTCATTTTCTGCATATAAAACCTTAAAGTATACAGTATAAGAGGTGAGCATTTCATTGCATATAAATATCAAATATATGAATATGGCTGATTTCAATCATCAATATTATAATGCCAAAATTAGGTCATGTTTTGCTTGGTGAAACTTTTTTTTTATACCTTTACGAACATATTTTTTTAATAGATCGTCATAGAAGGGGTGGAAAAAAGTAAAAATAAAATGTTGTTTTCTTATTTAGCTAATGGTTGTGCAAAAAACATCCAGATAGAGGAGAAAAAAAATGTATTAGTGAATGTAAACAGTGTAGTAATGGGATGGTTATATGCTTTAAATTTATATAATTAGGAAGAAATATACCTATCTTATTTTTGGAGATTTCAAGGCAACAGCAGGCGTAATAAAAATAAAGAAAAACATTTATTATTTTTTGAAATTTCTATTTTTTTCATGGCGTTGGGTGCAATAATTGACCAAAAATAAAATTTTATTTTTATTCGAAATCATCATTATGGGCGGGCAACCGGTTCACCAAACAATGTATAAAAAAGTCCCTAGTATTAATGAAAAATTTAATGAGTCTTATAAAGCACATCATATCAATGCCTCTATGGAGTTCATATACTCCCAGTCATTTGATTAAACACCTATGCAACACATAGACAGGTCCTTGGGGAGTGATACAAAACAAATCGACTAATCTTGATTTAAAGATCAGTAGAGATAACCTAAAATTCAAACATGATGTATAACTATCAGATTTTCATATTATTAAATCCAGGCTACGGAGGAAACAATTTTTTTTTTTCTAAGACACAAAAAGGTGTTGGAACCACTTTATTTTTTATGGTATTTTTTAGGTTCCTTCCTTATGTAGCTCCTTGAGCACTTACTGTATTGTAAATATTACAGTATTATTATTTTATTTATTTATTTCTGCCATATACATGATTGCAAACAAAATTGCGAACCAATAAAAACAAGGCAAGGAAAGACTACACAGGTGTATGCACGTTGGTCAACCCATAACAGTACAGATATAAATTATTATTATTATTATTATTATTATTATTATTATTATTATTATTATTATTATTATTATTATTAATATTATTATTATTATTATTATTTATAATATTATTATTATTGTTATTATTATTATTATTGTTATTATTATTTATAATATTATTATTGTTATTGTTATTATTATTATTATTATTATTATTATTGTTATTATTGTTTATTATTATTATTATTGTTATTATTATTATTATTTATAATATTATTATTGTTATTGTTATTATTATTATTGTTATTGTTATTATTATTATTATTATTATTATTATTATTATTATTCCACCTTTTCCCCCAGTTTTTAAATGTTCAAAAATCTATAACCATTCCAGAGTTTTTCATCAAACACTCTTTTTGTGTTTTATAAAAATCAGTTGTACAATATCAAAGTTTGTTTTTTAACCTCTGGAATCTGGCTTTGAAGCAGCTCAAGAAAGAACACTTCCTACTGAATTTTTATGCAGTTTGAATAAAAAATAAAATAAAATACTTGGGCGGATGCAGGATTTGGCAGTAGGGGTGTGTGAGAGTCCACACGATCTCATGCCCACCATTGCTGGGGCTGAGGTGCAAACATTTTTAGAATATGGACCTTTATAATCGAAGCGATATCATGTTCGTATCAACAATACAATACAAAAATGTCTCTTAATACAATTAGGGGGTGCAATCGCACCGTTGCACCTTCTCCCCCTCCCCTGCATCCGCCCCAGAAATACAGTCAAACGCATTATAATACTTACATTTTCATGATAGTCTGATGATAAACAGATCTGTCTGCCAAATGAAAGTAACTCCGGTTTCACAATAGTTCACTGTTTGCCTCATTCCAAGGATATTACCAATAAGCTTTGACTGTTTTCCTGTTTGCCTGGTCAATGATACACGAAGAAATCTGATCACTCCTCAACGTAAAGGTAGAATCTTGCTGAAATCTGTTCAGATAAGATGTTCCAAATAAAAATTTATTAATCTTAAAACCCAGATACGTTTTTTTTGGCACATACCATATTAAAAATGATGCATATATAAATATTTTTCAAATATTACTTTCATATGATAATGTATGTTTACTGATTTCCCGTATGGCATATTTTACAAGCATGAATAAAAGATTATTATTGCACATAATGAAAATGCTGGTATACTGTATGGATGAACTTGAAGCATGTTTTAATTACTCAAATTCAAGGTTTATAAGTGTATTTTTTAAAACAGCATTTTTAATCTGGATCATGCTTTAGAAAATTTATCATGCCCAGGACCCTAGCTTTTGATTAGCTGTGATGATTGTCTACATCTCTAAGCAATATTCCCTAATTTATGCATTATTACTTTATGGTAATTTTATTTATAAATAACAATGGACACAGCTGATGAATCAATGATGATAATCATACAAGCTATTATATTTTAGAAGGGATGCAGGCTAAATATTACACTGCATATATATTTCTGTTGATATACCATCTCCTTCACTTGGACGAATTAGGCCAGATAAAAAAAATTATTAGTATCTCGTCCCCTTGCGTATCCTTTTCTCTGCCTCACCAATTTCTTTCTTTTTTTTAATTTCCTTTATTTAACGAAATGTACGTAAATCTGGCTAACTCGCGTCAGTAAAATTCCTCTTTTGATCGATTGTGGTTGGCGATACATATGGTATGAATCATGTCTTGTGCTTCTTTTATTTGCTTTCGATGTGTCTACTTGGTAAAAGTGAGAAAGTAATAGCTGTTTCCCATCGACCATCTTAAATTTTTAAGATGTGAGAAAAAAAAGTGCCCTCATTCTTGTTTTTCCAAAATATTATAATGAAAAACTATTTTTTATTTTTAGTTGGCCTTAGCTAAATTCATTTTATAATAAAAGGCGCCCGTTATAAAGCTTGCTTGCTGTAGCATCCCTTTTTCTACTATATTTAAATGTTCTGGGGCCGGATTTATCAAACTAGAAATTAGTTCAATCTTAAGTCAAATTTATCACTATTGCCTTAACTTAAAAATTGCTTAAAATTAGAAGTCTATATGATGATTTTAAGCTAAGATTTTGCTAAGATGGTTTAATAAATCAGCTTTAGATATTTGCTTAGGGACTTCTAAACATTTGCTAAGCTGAAATTGATAAAGCCCGGGCCTGATACATATCTGTTACAGTATTTAGTTTTGTGTTAATGTGGAAATAAACTTGAATTGAATTGAATTCAAATCATGCTTAAAGTCAGTGCATTATATACCCAAGACTGTGAGGACTTGTGCAACACCCCAGTGACAAATAAACTCACTTTCCCCTACCCACCCCCCCAACTCACATTTTAGATGTGTATAATGAGGGAGTGTTACCGGCCTTTGTGCCTGTGTGATGTCTGTCTTATTAAAGTCTGTTCTTTTTTTTGACAAGTTTGTGTGATGTGCCCATGAGCATGATGATGTCATGTTCCTCCCAAATATGGGCATATCACATTCACATAAAATTTGATAGTTTTACATGGATATTATAGGTGAAGCACGCTTTTCTTGCATGGTTGCTACTGTATGTTACTGGTAATAATTGTATTGTGTATACTGTTCAGTATAAATGAACATAAAGTACCATTGGCATATAGAGATGGACTGTAGGTCCAATGACTCCCGGAGGTTGGGATGGCCTCCCACACTTCCGCAAGCAAGTAAGAGCCTCCCAGAAAATACCCCATCTCCCATAAATCCTTAATTTTGTATGTGTTTACTACATTTATCAATTGTCTTGCGGAAGTCTGTGCCTACTGTATGTTTGTCGCCATGCGCAGCTAAATATAATTAAATCTGTTCAGATTGCTCATTTAACCAAATCTCCTGGAACCCCTGAAATTGGCAAAGTGAACCATGACTATCAAATATTAATTGTTTACAAAAAAAGATAATTTATTGGAACGAGAAAAACTGTGTAATACTTGCAGAAATTGACAATGTTGATAAGGAATCATGATGAAATCAATAAAAAAGCATGTAAAAAGATAATGTAAAATAATAAAGAAAAAGGGGAAAACATTACCCTGGTGATGTTTAAAATGTACTTTTGCTTGTATAAAATAGTATTACTAGGCTTAGCTAGATTTGAATGGAGTGGAGTGGAGTTGAATGGCTTAGTAATTAAGGTACTTGTCTCCTAATCCCAGAATCCTGGGTTCAATTCCTGTCATGGCAGGACTTATTCACACAACTAAAACAACTCCACTCCCTAGGCCTATAACAGAGACTTGGTTGATTAAGCATCATTTCATTCTGTAAATGAACTGACTGTTAAAGGAGAAAGGAGCAATTGCATCTGTGTGTGTTAGATGTGAAGGAAATAAAATAATAAAAAAATTAATAAATCTTAATGAAAATTGTAAGTATAATTATTCAGCGTAGGCTGCCTTTTGGGATTACTACCGAACTACATAAATAATAAGTAATATAGTCAGTGTGTATAGTAACATGCTGTAAACATAGGCTTACCTTCAAGTGTAACTCCACTATTCAATTGTTCGCTTGCCCTTGGGACTGTTAATATCAGAATAACAATCCAACCAATGCCCAATAAAAAAATGGATGTGTTACTCATAGTCATAACACAGTAAAAGCATTCAAAAGGCCTTCCTCACTCACCTTGTATTGTTTTTGTTGGGATGGTAAAGCACTTAACCAGTGCTATGATGTGATTCTGTATGGGTTTGATTTCTTCTCAAATAGTTGTATAGATCCACTGTAATTGATTCCCAATCTGTTTATCTCCGTATATCATCACTTGGACACTGGTTGATGTTCAAGTTTTGCTTTGACCTCTTTGAAGTCTCTTTGACCTCTTAAAAGTTTCTGCATTCATATTTGATCCCTTAATACCATCTTAATACTAAAGAAAATTGTTTAAATTCCATTCTCATGATCGAATCTTCATTACTAGGCAGTGTTGGTTCTAGATATTTTCTGACTGGGAGTGGAAGGTGGTACCAAAAATTTGACAGGGATCCGAATCATTAGGCTGCCCAGAGCCTCAACCGGGTCCTCATAATAAATTCCCTGTTGAGATTATATGAGATTTTAAATTATTTCCCTGTATTTCAAATAGATTCATTGTAGTAAGTTTGTTTATTACGGACGATCCAAATATATGACGAATATGATTTCAAAATTCTAAAATTTGTATGCCACACGTATAAGATGATCCCTGATTTCTGATCGTAACGCGAGTATATATGGTAATTTTTCTTCCAAATGTTACCATAATTAACATCAATTATATATTTGAAAAACATGCAATAATTAATTATTTAATCAGTCCAGTAGGAGGAACAGAGGGCACCATGGTCTTTGACAAATGACTTTAGTAAGACCGTCTAAGTGATTAAGCTGGCTTTATTCGAGGATTTAAGACTCATTTAAGACTGTTTTATAGCAATCCACTTTTGAGTTGCTTTTAGCATTTTCTCAGCAGATGTATCAGCTGTCAAAGTGAAAGATATAATTAGGTGTCACATGAATTAGAGTAATATACTGTAGTTGTTGCAACATAATCAGACCATTGGTCACATGGCACTAATAAACCATCATTTGACAGCTAATAAATATGCTCTGACCCCAATATGTGTTCCCAACATATTGGGAAAATGTAAAATCTGACAATATTTTGATTGTCTGTCAAATAATCATAAATAGTCAATATGACAATAATGAGTTAATTATGATTATTATTTGTAATGAGTACTGAATGCAGTTTGTTAATATTAACATTTTTCCTCATTTTATTCCAGTCCTGTGTAAGAACAGGCTTCAAATAGTAAGCAAACATTTGAAATGTTGTTGTGGTTGTTAAAATTATTATTATTAAAATCATCATTGCTGTAACTGTCACAGTGGCATTCATTATTGATACTTGCTACAAAAAATATTGCAACCTTTTTATTGTCACCTTCATTGTTGTTATTATTATTGTTGTTTTTGGGCAATTCGAGTGGCTGAGTGGTAAGGCAAGCATGAGCAGATTTAAGGGAGGCCCGGGCTTCCCCCACACCCCGTTTTGGAAGGTTAAAAAAAGAAAAAAGCTAAAAAAAAAGAAAGTAAAATAAAAGAAAAGATTTATCACCCAAAAGGTTATTTTTGGGTGTCTAGAACACACAAAATTTGCAGGGGCATGCCCTCGAACCACCTAGAGTATCATTATCTCGATCGGCCGCACTTTTAATCTTCTTTCGGCCCCCACTTTTGGACATTTCTGGATCCGCATATGTCAGGGGCGCCACTAACTAAAGCCTTACATTGGCGCTGGTTCCAGCCGCCCCTCGCCTAGGATGTGGTCGGTAGAAGCAAGTCTTCTCGGATAAATACTTAAAATGGAGGTCCATTGTATACATCTGGCTCGTGTGCACTTTAAAGAACCCATTGCATCTTTCAGAAGAGTAGGGGGTTGCCCTGATATTATGGTTAATTTCAGCCCCTGTCATTGTAGAATGATATGAACATACTGTATACCTACCATAAGTGCCTTTTTAAGGTGACTATGTAGTCACAGACCACACCCATACACAATTCAGCATAAGACACTTTAATATAAATATTATATAAATATATATTATATAATATAATTGTTTTATTTTTTTCCACAACCAGGTTATTGAGATGAATGCAGAAAAATACTTGGAAGTAAATGAATTAGCAGTATCACCACCCTACTTAAATCCAAATGTCACCATCACGCTAAGTGGTGACAACCTTGTTGTCACCACCTCCTTTGGGCTTGAGGTCAGATGGAATGGTGACACCAATGTGGAGATAAGACTGCCTCAAGGTATTCCAAGTGAGGGCTTATGTGGAAGTTTCAACAGTTCACAATCATATGGATTCACCCTTCCAAATGGAATGACAGTAAGTAAAAGATGTTTGATTACAGTAACTCAAATCATATATGGGGCTTGTCATGCCGAAACCAGAATCGGTGACCAAAACACGAACATTGTTTTTTTAATATTTGCAATATTCTCTAAATTGTAAGCTTTTAAAATGATGGGTAATTACTGGAATTGACTTACTATTGCCAAAGTTATAAGTAAACCGCTGTTGTTTAAGTGCTGTTACAGGTTTATATACACATTATGCAGTCTCCAGTCATAAGTTTGTATGTGTGGTAATATTCCTCAACTTTAGTGGTATTTTTAGTTATTTAATGTTGTTAAAATTTTTGTCTTGATTATCATTATTTTTATCAATATTTATTTAGTCAAATATTTTCTTTTGTTTTTTTACTTTCATCTTCCTTTATTTCAAAAGTTTTCTATCATTATAGGTAGTGAACTTTTGATAATCACAAAATGAAGGCATTAGGGAATTTACGATAACGAATACGTCATCATTATCGTTATTCGTGCCTAATACATTCTTTACTATATGTTGTATGAGCTGAATGTGATCCCTCATTCATGCAAAGATATGAATCATTTACGTTGTGACAAATATGCTACTGTAGGGGAAGGGTTGTCTAAAAATTTGATGACGTAACCGTATTCGTTATCTTTTTCGTAAGCTTGCGAAAACTTCATATTTACAACAGTTTGGCATTAGTATCAAAGAGTATAAATGGAACAAGAGAGCCAACTACGCTCTGTAAAAAACGTCACCCCCTAGTTACGAAGGAAGTCGCCATCATCGTTATATAGTGCGCCCACTATGTATGTGCTCACATAAAGTGCGCCTGCTTCAATGGTATGATGATAAAGAAAAACAAGGATATCTACCATCCTCTACGAATGTATTTTACCATGTGGAAAACAGAAATGTAAATAAACAAACCATGTGTGGTGCATTACTGGGTAATCCATTAGTAGCGGGCATCCTACACTGGCTGTGTATGGTGTAGCATTTTTTTTACGCTCTCAATTGCGTAGTTGGCTCTCTTGTTCTATTTATACTCTGATAGTATTGACAATCTAAAGCGCTGTACAGACTATCACATTATGACCATATATTGGCAAATCATGACCATATATAGGCACATCATGACTATATATGGGCACATCATGACCATATATAGGCACATCATGACTATATTGGCACATCATGACTATATATGGGCACATCATGACCATATATATGCACATCATGACCATATATTGGCTCATCGTGACCATATATTGTTTATTTATTTATTCAACTTTCTTTTATGAGGGTAGCTCTTACAGCGATGCTGACTCAAAGAGGCCCTCATAACAAATACAAAACATGCAGTATAACAAAACAAATACAGTAATACATGTAAAATATATAAAGCAAAATTATAAAATAGATTTTCGTTACAATTTTTAAAAAACAATTGCATAAACAAGATATAAAATTTCAATTTTATTCATGACTATATATGGGCACATCATAACCATATATGGGCATACAATAGTTTTTTGTTAAAGATTTGATAATCTGGACAGAGCTTTATGTTTATATGCAGTTATTTGATATGACCTAAATATTAACCTCAGTGTAAGTAATAAAAATGATAGTAAAAACTGACAAGGTTTATTTGGTGAATGGTAATCTTAAAATTTTATGTTTCACTGTAAAAGATTAAACTATATTTCTTTAACCTTGAACTACTTTTGGAATATTAACTACAGATCTACTAAATATATGTAAATATTGCTAATTGTTGGAAAAAATATACATAATAAAATGTATATAACAATAATAAACTAAAACGAAAAAATCAAACCATCTTTGGATGAACACCTTAAATGATGTTGAAAACTTTAGAAAGTAGGCCAGCATGAGAAGTAAATGAAAACATATTGTACAACAAATAAGCAAGGCAGCCCAGGCAGAGAAAGTCAGTTGATTGTTGCCCGCCTTCACAAAAATATAAATAATTTTCACAATGCTCTTTGCTTTTTTTTTCTTAAGACTTCAAATCCAACTGAATTTGGGAATAGTTGGAATGTGGATCCTGAAAATTGCGAGTCACAAGTTATGCCAACACAGGATGCATGTGAGGATAACTCAACTTTAGCAGCGGCTGAGAAAGACTGCTCAATAATCACTGATTACAACGGTATGTGTTTTTGTGACCTTTCTCTTTCCAAAATGTGACCTTGATACATGAATAAACATATAATTTTATGACTAGATATTGTTTGGTGCTCTAGTTTTATATTCTTGTTATCTTTTACTTATTACTGTATATGTTGCTAACACTTGAACAACTGCCAGTAGAAATGTAATTTCTGGGTTTTTCAGACAATATAATTATCTTGAATCTGGAATCATTCAAGACAAAATAAAAGCACCAAAATATTTACAACCTGTTCTATCGCCTCCTGTACTATATTCGTCTCCTGTTTCACCAACTGTATCAGCTATTCAAATACTACCTGTACCACAGTCTGTACAGCCTTTCACCAAAACCACCATTTATGGGCGTTAAGCCACATTTACACTAGACACGATTACGACACAATACAGATCGATACAGATGCGCGCAGTGTTGAAGAATACAAACTACGCGTTGATTTGTTGTGTCGTAAACGTGTCTAGTGTACATGTGTCTTAACTAGTCCAAGAATTAAAATAGCACCCATTTCCATCTCTGAGGTTCTTTGTTTTGAGCCTGTTGCAATTGTTAATTGATAAAAAAGAAAAAAAAAAAAGACAAAGACAACCCCAAAAAAACTCAATAAAACATACCTTAGTAGTCCATATACCCTGTTCTGTCTCCCTGTTGTTACGCCTCTAATACCATTTTTATATTGTATATGTCTAATTTCATGAATACTTACCTGGATAAACCAACTAATTGCCATAGTTCCTGAAATAAAACACCCTTTCGAATAAAATAGAACAGTCCTACCCCAGGCGCCACATACAAACCATCTCCTTGTTCCCTAGAAATCCAATTGATCGCAAAGAGGGTAGGAAGGGAGGGAATGCTGTACGGGTAAGTATCTCACTCATAGATTTGTGTAATTTACAGTTCAATATGTTTACTTTATTTATTTATTTATTTACAACAATATTTTGAGTGAGCGATCCTTACATAATAAATCTGATGTTCAGGGGCCCACTTAAATACAAAAATATAAAAGTATGTAAAAATAAAGCCAATCTATCAATTTAGTCATAAAATTTAAAACTTCAAACATTAAAATACTAAAAAAATAAAATAAGAAAAAGAAAGCAAAAGAAAGAAAACAGACAAAACAGACAAAGAAAAAAACAAACATACACTCACACCCCACCCAAACCAACACAGGAAAAAAACCTAAGAAAAAGGGGAATATAAATCCTTGTTTAAAATGTGTTGCTTGATGTGCTTTTTAAAGGTGTTGTATGCAGGTATGGTGGTGATGGTAAGTGGGAGGGTATTCCAGAATGAAGGAGCTTGGTAACTGAAAAATGATTTTTGAACTAGTTGTGACTTTCTTATTTCATACCTTTAGGACCCTTCTCTGGATGCCATGATGTTATTGATCCTGCGTTTTATTTTGCAAGTTGTGTCCTTGAGGTGTGTGCCAACTTTGAACGTGAAAATAAAGCGTGTCAAATCATAACGCAGTATGCCTCCCGATGCCAAGCTTCTGCAGTTGTTATTGAACCCTGGAGGAGAGAAAACTTCTGCTGTATGTATTTATATATAGAGTATTTTACTTCTACATTTTTTAATCGTCTAGTGGTAATTCAGAAGTATGTACCTCATGAGATTCAGATAACTTAGGCAAGAATTTTTTGATAAATTATTTAGCAAACCGACCGCCCACCAATAATGATGATTTCAAATAAAAAGGAAATTTCATTTTGGGCCAATTAGGGCACTTGCCAGCATGAAAAAATGGAAATTTCAGAAAAAAATTTTTTCTTTATTTTTACTATGCCCACCGCTGCCTTTAAATCTCCAAAAATAAGATATGTATATTTAATTCTAATTATATAAATTTAGAGCACCTAACCATCGTATTCCTCCATCTGGATGTTTTTTGGCAAAAATGTGTATGAAAAAAAAGTTTTTTTTCATTTTGTGTCCACCCTCAGCTAACAATCTGTAAAAAAATATGTTTGCGAAACAAGGTATAAAAATGTCTCGGGCCTTATCATCAACAAATACAATTATTTTCCAATATTAGATTTATTTATAGATACATTGTGTGTCCTATTAAAACAAACTGCATGTCTCCCTCCAATTAAAGCCCACTTCTAGGACCGGGGTTTGCATTTTTTTTTTCAGCTTTAGTCTCAAATTAGAATAATAAAAATAAAAGACATTTGTTGGTTTCGGACCACAGAAAAGTGATCTTTAGTTGGAGATGGTCCTAATTGCGGTCCTAATAATGGTGTCTTTAATTAGAGGGGGAGACTCGATGTGCATTTTACTTTTGTCCTGGAGCAAGGCACTTTATCTGCATTGCTTCCCTCCACTCAGGAGTATAAATGGGTACGTGGTGGAGTAGCCTGCTACTGCGCCAATATGGCAGCCAACACTTAAGCATTGAACCCAGTGACCAGGAAAAACAATGCACTTTGTAACTTAAAGGAAAAGCGCTATATGAATACCAAATAACAAAAAAATTATGAAAATTTATTTGAATGTTAATAAGTAAGGTCATTCATTGAATAGGTGAAGATACACTTCATTAATTTTTAACGTATGTTTTTATTTCATGTCAGATTTATCCTGTAAAGATAATTCGGAATATGAATTGTGCGGATCAGTGTGTCCTGAAGCGTGCGTAGATACCGATGAACATATTGATTGTAATCGCCCATGCATAGAGACATGCGAATGTGAAGAAGGTTTTATTCTGAGTGGGTTAGATTGCGTTCCTAAAGATGAATGTGGTTGCTTATATGGAGAATATTACATACAGGTATATGAATTAATAAATTATTATCAATTAATAATCGAGTTATTTATTTTATTGTCATTTTCAAGTTAATTATCATCAATTAACAATCAATAATTATCAATTACAACTGTGAGGGGTGTTTATTCAAATGGTAATCATACATTTTTGAATTACAAATCTATTAATAACTACAAATCAATATCAAATTTACCGCAGTGTACAGTAAAATAAGTTCTAGTAATCTTGAAAGCTCCCATGAGGGCAGTATAATAGATGCAGTAGAGCTAAAAAAAAGGTCTATTAATCAATCAACAATTAATCAATCAGCCTCATGAGGGCAGTATAATAGATGCAGTAGAGCTATAAAAGGTCTATTAATCAATCAACAATTAATCAATCAGTCTCATGAGGGCAGTATAATAGATGCAGTAGAGCTATAAAAGGTCTATTAATCAATCAACAATTAATCAATCAATCAGTCTCATGAGGGCAGTATAATAGATGCAGTAGAGCTATAAAAGGTCTATTAATCAATCAACAATTAATCAATCAGTCTCATGAGGGCAGTATAATAGATGCAGTAGAGCTATAAAAGGTCTATTAATCAATCAACAATTAATCAATCAGCCTCATGAGGGCAGTATAATAGATGCAGTAGAGCTAAAAAAAGGTCTATTAATCAATCAACAATTAATCAATCAGTCTCATGAGGGCAGTATAATAGATGCAGTAGAGCTATAATAGGTCTATTAATCAATCAACAATTAATCAATCAGCCTCATGAGGGCAGTATAATAGATGCAGTAGAGCTATAAAAGGTCTATTAATCAATCAACAATTAATCAATCAGCCTCATGAGGGCAGTATAATAGAGGCAGTAGACCTAAAAAAGGTCTATTAATCAATCAACAATTAATCAATCAGCCTTATGAGGGCAGTATAATAGATGCAGTAGAGCTAAAAAAAGGTCTATTAATCAATCAACAATTAATCAATCAGTCTCATGAGGGCAGTATAATAAATGCAGTAGAGCTATAAAAGGTCTATTAATCAATCAACAATTAATCAATCAATCAGCCTCATGAGGGCAGTATAATAGAGGCAGTAGTAAAGGTCTATTAATCAATCAGCTGAGTGTTTCTAGAACTCTTCATGGGATCTAAGAAATGGCAATGAAACACCTTATCTTGTCAATTGAGCTTGGTTGGACCCAGTTAATTCTTTGATGACAGACTGTCTTTGATGGATAAATATATTTGTTTATTACTATTTTTATTATTATTAAACACTCTACAGTTAATGTTTTTAATCAATGACATTCTATATATTTTTTTAATTTTTTAGCTAAATGAGACATTTATTAATAGCACATGTGATGGAGAGTGCACCTGTACTTCAGGTGGACAGGTTGTATGCCAGCCGTATGCCTGTAGGGCTGATACTGTCTGCCAAATTGAGGATGGAGTCCGAGGCTGTTACTGTCCCGAAGAAGAAATCGAATATGAAGGAGCCTGTATCTGTAAGTCACATTCTGTATCTGAAAACACTGTTGTATGCCAAAATTTAGTCAAGATGTGGCTATATATGGTCATTATGTGATGTCATCATGACCATATTTAGGCATATCACATGTTTTTGTCAAATATAATTTGGTCTGGAGTTTTAGATAGATAATAAATGTTGCAATCTTAAGCCCTATCCAGGCTATCAAATTCTATTTGACAAAAACATGTGACATGCCTATTAGAATATGATCATAATGACATCACATCATGACCATATATAGGCACATCATGACTGTATATGGGCATATAACAGTTTGTTGTCAAAGAAATCAGGATGAGCATAACATGCACCTACTGTACCTTCACACATACTTAGTTTAACATGTCCTGGTGTATCTTCTTGAAGAATCCAAATGATAATGTTTTATTGTTTTATTACCTATATTTAGCTGACCCATGTATTCCTAACCCATGTGAGAATGGTGGATTGTGTATTGGAGACGGATTCAACTACACTTGCTCATGTTCCAAAAGGTGGACAGGTGACAACTGTCAAACAGGTAAGAATTACCAAGTCTATTTTGGGAACACTTCGATGAAAAACTATTTCATTTTTTAATTTATTTCGCCTTGTTCGTAGATATATACAAAATACAATAAATTTGCAAAAAAGTAGTCTCATGTCCCCCAAGACCCGGCAGGATTGCCAAAAAGTAAAATAAATTACCATCTAGTTGGCTTTCCAAGCAATGGGGGAAACATAGACTAGCATAAGAATATAATATAAATTTTTAAAATATCAAAATCTATAAAAATAATGCAAAAATACACACACAAAATAGATGCCACGTTTCCGTTAGTGAAACAGAATCGTCAATTGTACCACATTGGTTTATGTTATCGGTGCATTACATAATCATTATATTATCTTCTCGATGATGGACAAAAATCAGTTTACTCCTTATTTTGTCAAATTAAACAAATCAGCAGCGATGTTGTTAGTACTTACCTTTGATAAACCAATTAATGCCAAAGTTTCTTGAAACTTACCTATCGACCATAAAAGGAAATAATGGCATGCCGTTGCCCTAGCAGCGTGAATAACCACCTTCCTTGTTTCCCTCTCCTAGTAGAAATATGTGTGAAGAAGTAATAGGGAAAAATGGTCAAAATTCATAGTTTGTATAATAATGTTCCATAATAATTTTAACAATTTGTAAATAATAATTGCAATTTTTTGTAATTTTTTGTTAATATAGTGAATTCTTTGTATATATTTTATAATATTTTTATATGACTTCTATTTTTAAGTTTAATTCTTCTCAAATTGTTGTATTGTGACACTGATAGGTCTGGCAACTTGTGAAAGCTTTGGTGATCCACATTACATTACATTTGATGGTACAGTTTATGATTTCATGGGAGGATGTCAGTATATGTTGCTAGCAATATCTGATCAGTTACACATTCTACAAGACAACGAAAAGAGTGTAAGAAACCCAAAAGTAGCATACACAAAGTCTATCACCATACAGCTGAGTAACATGGTAAGTCTTGTTTATTTATTTATATATATTTAACCAACTATTGCCAATTTTCCCAAGTAATAATACCCCTTGATAAAATAATGGAACATTCCTGCTACTGTGCTATAATGTGACTTTAGTTAATAGGATAGATTAGTAAATATGCACAATTTGCAATGGACCTTTTCTGAATGTCGATCACATCTAAAAATCTGACCAATCAAAAGAGAGCAGTGAATACACACTTATCCCTCAAACACACGTCTTGGGCCAAAAACCATCAAAAAGACGTGTTTACATATTCTTTGCCCTTTTTTTTTTGTGGCAACAATATTCATTCATTTTCCTCACTTTAAGGGAAGTACCTGATAGTTTATCATGGGCTGAGAAGTTGAAATCTATATAAGAATCCTTCCCAAAGACAAATAACTGTCTAGCCTTTTTTATTAACAATTTCAAAAGCTTTTCTTTCGTTTTTATTGCCTACATCTTTCCACTTTTGATGGTACTACCACAAAGATAATAATTAAGAATATCCATATTTTTTTATATATGTTTCATATAGACCATAGAATTGCATCGTGAAAAGCAACTTTTAGTGAATGGTCGTGAAGAAGTTCCTCCTTTCAACGCGCCACTGTTTTCTGTATTCGATATTGGTGAATATATAGTAAGTGTTCATAATAGCGTTTTTATTAAAGTTTTTTTGTTTGCAGAAAAAGTTTGTGTCAGGAATTAATAATAATTTAATTTTACTTATTTTTGCCTACCACGGATCTCCATTGTTAATAATATCGTTGTTCTTGTTAATATTAATTAAATTAGTTAATTCAATTTTAATTATTATTAATCTAATCACATAATAAATTGAAAGTTTGAAATTGCAAACAATTTAAATTTAATGCAATTTGTATGATAATCTTAAGTTATGCAGTTTTTTCAAAAATTAAAATGTTCTAGGGTTATACAACAGGTAAAATGTTGTTAAATATTAGTAATATTGGTATTTATATATTTATTCTTTATTATACCAATGAAACAAAATACTGTATCAAAATCCAAGATGGCAATGAATGACCACAGTTAAAAGAAACTTGTCTCTCAAGCCGGTCATTCCATCTTATTTATTAATATATTACTGATAAATATTCTGACTGCCAGGTGTTTAGAAAAATGGTACCAGCCACCGCCAGACATTTTAGCGAATTTTAACACTTTTCGGAAGCTTGTTGAGAGTGTGCATGTGATCAGATTGACATGTAATGAATTCTACAAGAACTACAAACATCTTAGCTTTAAAATGGTACCAAATACTTTATTCTAATCACAATCTTTGACCCGTAACAAAATTAAAATGACTCGCTTTTGGATATTTATGCAATATCCCACAACGAAGCTGAGATAATCACGATTTCGTAAAAGTACATCTATACCACCCCGCTCAATGTAAACAAACAAATAGTGAAATATTTATGGACCAGACTTAATATAGTGTTGCGATTGAGTGTCGCAATTGCTACAACCGATCGCAATGCGATGCTAGTCTGAATGGGGTATTATTCTTTTTACATTACTTTCATTGTATTTGTTCCTATAGGTTGTCGCTACAGAACATGGAGTTGAAGTCATTTATGATGGTCTTTACAATGTAGAAATAAGTGTTCCAGAAACATTTCAGGGGCTAACTAGCGGACTTTGTGGGACCTTTGATAATGATAAAGCCAATGACCTCACAACGCCAAATGGAACTGTTGTATGTAGTTTATTTTTATACATTATATTTACTTTAAATGTAGTTATTAATATAAAAGTGAACTTGAATAATTTGTAATTTTCTCAATACTATTAAGCAAATCAAATTTAATTTTTGTGTATGTATTTAATTTCCAATTTCAAAGTTTTCCGAAAATAGTGATTTGGTTTTCATGTCTTCGTAAAAAGGAATTTATGCTGATATGGTTTTCATTACTTATTCTTTTTTTCTATCATTATGATAAATGATACTTTTTTAAAGGATGATACTATCTTAAAGTTATAGATTAAGTGTGCAAATAGTGAAAACTAATTATCTTTAACAAAATTATATAATTATATTATAATTATATATCATTAATTACAAATTCTTAATTCAATTTGTCTATTTCATGAATACTTACCTGAATGAATCAATATAAGCCAGATTCATCTATGAATTTCCCCACGAAAAATCCATGCGCATATAACGCATCAATTTTACGTAAACTGCATCAGACTCTTTGCTGAGAATGAATAGACCTACCTGAATAAAAAGGAGTATCCTTGAAAGAACAAAACCACATGCTGTTTCTGTTGTGTTAATGTTGCTTCGAGTGATCGTTACATTTAGTTCCCATGGCTACTATATGTCTTCTGTTAAGAAATCTGGCTTATATCCGTTCATCCAGGTAAGTGACTCATAGACCATCGCTTCTGAGTCTATTTTCTTGAGTCCACACATAGCCAGGCTATCAAAAACAAATCATGTGGTTTTGTCTGCAGAAACCACAAAGCAAAGACACTTCTAAACGTAGAGTAGGTAAGCTTTTCTTTCTATTCATCTATATCGCTCTGCGGCGAGAAGGAAACAAGGATATTGTTCATTCATGCAGGGCGAGCCCATTATTTTTTTTTTATGAGAGTTAAGTTCCAAAGGAAACTTAGGCATTCATCAGTTTATCCAGGTAAGTATCTCACTCATAGACTAACAACATCACTACGGATTTGTTTATTTTGTGTGATTTACAGGTTGAAGACCCGGTTACATTTGGAAACAGTTGGGAATACGGGGAAACATGTTTGTTCCCTGAAGTTGTTGGTCCGCCTTATGCTCCTTGTGATATAGATGATCCTTCTCAGAGGTGCGGGATCCTATCAGACAGTTCAGGTAATGGAGGCAGATTCAAGAGGGGGTTCCCATCTCTACTCCCTTCCCCTACCAAAATTTTTGAAAATTAAAGAAAATTGACGGAAAAAATAGAAAATTACATTCAAATTTAAGTCTGAGAGTGCCCTAGTCAGACAAGTTTTTGCTTCAGTCCCAACTATGGTAGAGTTTTTTATTTTTTTATTTTATTTATTTAGGCACACAACACATGCACCAAAGATTTTCAATAGTGAAATATATTACTGTCCACCTTGTAGGTAGCAATCCCATACACAAAACAAACATACACACACAATACTTTACACAAACTAAATCTCAATATGAGATTTAGGGAGTGGAGTTGTACTGGTCGTGAGAAAAAAATCGTACAACACTGACAGGAACTGAATTGAATTGAACCCAGGACCCTGGGATTGGGAGGCAAGCATCTTAACCACTAAATTATTCAACTGTTTAAAGTGGCTCCCTGTGCCCCCTCGATTTTGAATTTTGGGATCCACCACTGGGTAAAGCAGTCTCTCTCAAAAGTTATATTGTTTGTAGTAAAAGATGAAAAAATTAATAAAAAATCCAACCAAAAGACTTAAGCAGTTAGCACAATGGCTCAGACTCTCAATCTTGTAGTCAGCATGGGAGGGGGGTTTGAAACCCTGACTGTGCAAGTTGCTTCTCTTCTCAAGCAAGGCACTTTATTTATATTCATCTCCCTCCACCCAAAAGTATTATAAGTGGGAACCTGGTAGAATCAAATATCAAGCGCTGATTCTAGCTGCTTATGGTGTTGTGTTCCTCAGGGAGATAAGGATGTGTTCCATAGGCGTTTGATCCGTGGTAATAATGCATACATGCCAACACTCCCATTTTGGCCGGGAACTCCGGTTTTGGTGAGCTAACTCTCGACCAATTTTTTTTCTCTGTTTTTTCACATGCTCTGCCAGTTTACAAAGAAAATTACATAGGCGTACTTATATATTAATTTGTCCTTTTTCGCAATAAAATACTACAAAAAACCTCAATATTCACGTTATCTTTTAATATTCATTCATTCATTCATTTCACTTTAATTGCCAAATTCCAAGAGCATATACAAAATGAGTTAAACAAGTACACATGGCAGTAGAAGGTTAAAATAAAAGATTTCTCTTGTCAAGTTTAACCCCCTTTAAAATAGTAAATATAGTCTCTGTGACTGGTGCATTTTGTCTGAAATCGTTTTAAATTAAGGTAAATAATAATTATGACTAGATTGTTGTATAAAGAATAGTGACATAGCTGGACCGTTGAATAATTAGACATGAAGTTACAGTTGCTAAAATACCGCCCCAGTATTATTATCTGTATCAATTTAAGCTCATAGACCTGCAAGATCACTTCTACTTTGTGTGTCCCAGACTGTAAGGCCATCCTCGCATTTCGGGAAAATAAGGGCTGATTTCCGCATAGATTTTGCCGAAAATTAGGCTTTGACCTTAATCTTAATATATATAACCAATGCATTATGCAATAGTTATGATTCTGCACACCTATTTTCTTGTACTGAAAAGGCCAGCAAATGAGAAATTGATCCATGAATACATGCTCACGCGAGAAAATATGTTATTCTACTATATTAAACACACAAGTTAAAATCAATATATTATAGGAATACACATTATAAGAATCATGAGATTTACTGTTATAATACATTAAATAGCTAAAGCTTCCAGGGGGTTACAACCCCTGCACCCCCATCTGATGGGGACACATACCCCCCTTCCACAGACTCAGGCCTTCAGGGGCGCTTCGCGCGCCAGATTCTCCCGTTTTTTTAATATCAAAATGTTGGCATGTAGTTTTTATATGGAGCATTCTTAATAAATGGAGCCACAGATCAATAAAACATTCAGTATTTGCTGATAATTTTGTGAATACCGATAGTTTTCTTTAGAGGGACTTAATCGATGAATGCTCACCTGCCTTCTCCTTGTTAGATCAATGGTGATCTCAAGGAAAATGAGGCTGATTATATGACGTTACATTTATGCGCTCTCAGGTTGCACAGTGCTGTTAAGTTCCTACAAGGAATATTGGAATATATCAGTTCATCTAGGTAAGACTATCACTCATAGACGCGCAACAACATCACTTCTAATTTGTGTGATCTCAGACTGTTAATTAAGGCATGCACAGGAAATATATCCTCCACGCTAAAATTAGGTCTAGAAATCCATCCTCACATTTCAGAAAATAAGGGCTGATTTCCGCACAGATTTTGCCGAAAATTAGGTTGACCTAATCTTAATATATACCAATGCATTATGCAATAATTATCATTCTACGCACCTATTTTCTTAGCGATTTTTCATTCAAATTTGAGCTAGTTTTTGGGGTTTCATCCGCGCATTTAAAATACTCCACAATATGGTGTGATCTGCATAAATGTGTGTTGACATTATTTTCTTTGTATTTTTTCCAGGCCCATTTGTTGCCTGTTTCCGGATTTTTGATCCACTCCTATACATTGATAGTTGTAATTATGACGATTGTGCATTCCCTGGTGACCAAGCTTTTTGCGAGGTTTTGAACATATTTGCAGATAAGTGCACCTCCCTTGGTGGTGCAATTGGTGAATGGAGATCTGCTGATTTCTGCCGTAAGTATCATATGGATCTTTTCGGAGTGGCAATTAAACTTAACAACTGACCAATCAGAACAGAGACAGGAACATGCACATGTCTCACAAACATGGGACCTTAGCAACAGTATCCAAGGGCGGGGCTCCACCTTTGGGACCTCAAAATTTGTGGTGGTCTCGGGGTTGGTCTCCAATAGAGGGCTAGCTTTGTGTTAAAAGGTTGAAGATTGTTGTTTAGGTCTTCGGAAAAATGGTCTCAAATTAGAGGGGTCTCGGAATTAGAGGGATCTTGAATTGGAGCTGCACTGTATATATAATTTACTATAATAAATATAAATATATTAAAAAGCACATACGGTAACACAATTGTGTTTTTGTGTTACCGTATGTGCTTTTTAATATACTTGTATTTATTTTTATACTGGAGTACATTTGCAATAAGGAAGGAAAATTTCATAATTGTACCTTGTATTTTTATGACAATAAAAGATCTGTATCTGTATTCGTATAAAATTGCCTAATTTATAAATAGAAATAAGTATTATGTAATTAAGGCAGAACACAAAGGACACAATGTCCATAATATTTTCACAAAAAATTTCATAGTTTGAGACTTTTATAATACCTAAATTATTAAATTTCTCAAAATAACTTGGAGCACTGTCTTGGTATTGTTAGTTATTTATAATTTTTCTCACCACAAATTCATTAATTTTATATGTACAGCAATTCAGTGCTCAGAAGGTTCTCGCTACTCTACCTGTGCGTCAAGATGTCCAGCGACATGTGCAGATCGAAATCCTCTAGAATGTCCAGGGTGTCTGGAAGGCTGTGAATGTGATGATGGCTTTCTTTTGAGTGGCGGGCGGTGTGTCCCTGAAGATGAGTGTGGCTGCTTGGTGGATGATGAACGATATATAGAGGTAATATCGGGGGCCATTAGGATGTGCACTGAGTTTGAGTAAAAATAGTATGAATGTCACTCCAAATATTGATAAGGCCATTTTATTCAATGTTTTACTTTTATTTAAGCATCATCAGCAATAATACATAATACAAAGAGGTAAAATTATATACAGTACAAGTTACCATAAATCCTAATTAATCTCCTGTGGTGTATCTAGGATGTGCGCGGGGAATACAGCCTTCCAAAAATTGCTCACATCCCCCGAGACTCCTCTCTCATTGAAAATGTCTGAAGCAAAAAAATCATGCTGAAGCAGTGGCGTATCTAGAAGTCTTGAAATGGTGGTGCTGATGGGAGAGCGCGAAGGTAAAGTGAGGGGCTTGATGATTAGTTGAGGGGGGCGCTAATTCTGAAAATAAGGTGATTTTAGGTGATTTTTAACTACTTGACCATGATTTTTGGGGGCAACTGGGAGTGCTCGAGTAATTTTTGGAGGGGCGTGCTCCCCCTAGATACACCACTGTGCTCAAGCACTTAAAGATTACCTCATATCACCTGGTTTTGCGACCTCGCTCCCCTCACTTAATCATTGGGCCCCCTGCTCCACCATTGCATGCCCCATACCCCTTAATTACCTCGGCCCCAATCAGTAGGGGTAGGTGGTGTGCACCCTCTGTCTGTGAATTTTCCTCACCAGACCCTCTCTATTTTGTATTCCTAGATCTGCCACTGCTAGTACTACTCCAAGTTAGCAGGCCCTTTACATCGCAAATTCCAACACGCCTGTTCGATGCGAACGACTTTTACATGTACATAAATATATTCATTCATTCTGTAAAACATGTTTTTCTTTAAAAGGGTTCCATCTAGTTTGTAGTAGTAATTTTTTAATAGGATCATTTAAAAAATACCCCACAGAATCGGTCTACTTTAAATTCTACTTTTTTTTGGTATTATCATTACCTCTGTAAAGAAGTACGTAATCCACTATTTCAATACTGAGTAAATTTTTTATTGGTGAGAGAGCTCTAACTTGGTGTTTTAAATAATGTAATAATATAAATCAAATGCACAGTCAGAAAGTTTTGGTTAAAAAATGTTCGCTGTTGATAAATACTCTTCTGATTCCTCCCATCAGATCTTCTGCAGCCATCAGACTGATCTCATCCATCTTTGCAGCTGCTCCTCCCACAGGCATTAAGGGACTCTTTATCTGCTCACAATTTCAAAACTTGTTTTGACTGCCGTGACCTTTTTACATTTTCCTAGCGTGCTTTACCAGATTATTTTACCATACCATCATATACAAGTAGCGAGCAAAGATGTTTTTGCAGTTATGCAACTTAATTTTATTTTCTATTCTTTTCTTTAGCTCTTCTCATCATTTGCTACGTCAGATTGTGGGATGCTTTGTACTTGTCAATTGAATAACACCATTGATTGCATAGAGCTGACATGTGATATAAATGCAGAGTGTGGCGTTTCTGATGGCCAGTTTGGTTGTTTCTGTCCATACGGTTTCATTGGAAATGGAACCTACTGTGAAGGTACTTTGTCACATGTGCTTTCTATTGTTCAAATATAGAATAACCAAAGATTTTATAATAACAAGATAGCGTTCTCCACGTTTTGCGTGTAACAAATTGAAGCGTCCAATTCACGCAGAAATCAATAGAAAGTAATTGTAACTGAGAGAGGGCATCCTAGTTGCTACTATGGCAGTTGTTGCAGAATTTGCATGGAGATCATAGATGTCAAAGTTCAAAAGGAATTGTAATCGCAAGAGGGCATCCTACACTGCATTATTACAGAATTTGCATGTAGAAATCGCATTGAACGCTAACTTGTTATAAGATCTTTGAGAATAACTAATTATTACAGTAGTTGGGAGATATTGTTTATTGAGCATTTACTTCTAAAAAGCCCTTTTGTATTTTGATCTGCACCTGCCTGTATTGAAAGTCAATCAACATAAACAAACATTTAACACATGGGCCTAAAATTTACTACTTTGCAATTTTTTTACAATTAAATATTTTCTATAATTGAAAGAAGCATTTTGTATATTTTGTGTTGTTCATCTGTATTTGATCTGTTTTGTACCTACAGTCGATCCATGTATTCCCAATCCATGTAACAATTCCGGCAGTTGTATCCCGAACAATGACCTGGATGCTGATCCATTGTACATTTGCCAATGCCCCAGAGGATTCACGGGAGAGCATTGTGAAATTGGTACGTAAACCAAGCACTTACTGTATCAAACAACGCAATTCTATGGAGAACGCAACATCACAACACACACGTAACAGATCATTTTTAATTATGACTCATTCAGACTGACACCGAAAGTCAGCGAACGGTATCGCTTCATCTAACGTTCACAGGGAGCGAAGTTGAATTGGTCGTATGATGGTGGTATGACAATCATACGATGCAATGAGTGCCCGACGTAAAGGAGAAAAGGCTCTTTCTTTTTTCACAATACTTGTTTGTAATGTTACTAATATTTAAAACCACAAACTTCTAAGACCAAAAAGGTGTCCCTTAATTATAGTGGTGCCTCTTGAATAGGGGTTGCCCATAGTGTTCAAAGATATACTTTCCCTCGTTTGGGTTATGAGTGTTCCAAAAGTTGGTTTCTACTGTATTTACAGTCAAGAAGTCAACAATTGGGTTATCCCCAGAAATTATAAATAATAATCACATATTCAGCTTTGCCATATTTGTTTGTAGTGAAACCAATTAAAAGAAAAGAGTACTTACTTATATTAAGATGTATGTTAAACTGAGGGGTTTTTTTTCCTTTTATATCAGTGTTTGTATATAATATAAATTTTTGTATTTTTTTTTTCATAATATTCTAGAAACTCGCTACTGTACCGCTCACGGAGATCCTCATTATTCAACGTTTGATGGTTTCCGTTACGACTACCAAGGCGATGGTTCCTTCATCTTGTCACAATTTGAGGAAAACTCCACATATCTATTTCAGATTATTCAAAAAAATGAAAAATTAAGGTCCAATCCCAATGTAGCATATACCAAAGAAATATATGTACTTGTCTATGGAATGGTAAGTATTAAACACTAAATGGTGTGAATGTGTACCTTATTAAACTTGTGAATATATATAAACACACATCTCCTCACTCCTCTTCGAGTTTTCTCACAGAGGCACTCATATAAGAAGAAATGGGGCAAAATATCTCTCAAGATAGTGGCTGCTAAATTCTGGAATAGCCTACCACCATCTTTAGGATTCTGCAACAACTGTGACACTTTCAAAATTATTAAACAAATCAGAAATTCTTAAAACTTGGAACAGTTTAAATATCAATTGTGCTTATATATAGAAGAAATTTCAGAATTAATTGTTATTATTTTTTATTTAATTATTCATTTAGGAAATATTTTTTGGACAAGGTAAGCTTTTAAGAGTGAATGGACTGAATGCAATTCCACCAGTTAACCCTACAAGCGATTTGGAAATTGTTCTTAATGGCGACTCACTGGTAAGTTTGTTAATATTATTTATTGGATTTACTTTTGCATCAGTGGCACACATCAGACAATACCTGATGGTGCATCCAAACAAAATAGAAGTAAAGAAATTAAATCAAATTCAAAACAAAAGGAACAACATAAACAAGGGTGAATTAAAGGCCTATGGTAACTTATAGAAGTAACGTAAATGGATACATAACTGGGGTAGTATAATATATGGTTATATAATGTTTATTGACAAATCTCTAAAATTTTCATCATATCCAAGCAAGTTAGTCAAGTTTTCTTGTGTGACTTGTTCACTAATACAAGGATATTTTTCAAATGGAATTTTTTGTGCTATGAATGGCAAACCCCTCTTTAGTTTTATTAAAACTATCAACGGTTATGTGAGAAATATTTGTAAATTGCCCATATATGGCTATGATGATGTCATGTTGAACTACTGTATATAAGGACATGATGATGTCATATGACATATGACATCATCATAACATGACATCATGTCATATCTGGCCAAATGACACAGATTTGTCACATACAGCCTAATTTTATATGTATATGTATATGAAGCTTGCTAAAAATAAATGACAACATTTCATTGTATTGGACAGTAAATGAACATTTGCTTTAACTTTGTTTACAATTAATTACATCACAACAGTATCTTAGAACTGCCTTCGGATTGGAAGTTTCTTACAATGGTGTTGCTGATGTTGACGTCGGTCTGCCAGCAACGTTTAAAAACACTGAGGGTTTGTGCGGCAGTTCTGATGGCAATCCAGATAATGACCCCAGTAATCCTGATGGCCAACTGGTAAAAAAAATAGCATGTTTTCTCCTCTTTGGTTTTTGAAAGAAAAGTCTACAACTCTGTCGTGACACTGAGACTCCAATGAATATTGATCGCTAATAGTTCATTGTTCATAGTTCACTTTATTTGAAATACAATTGCTCGAATATTAGTAAGGCCCTGTCCAGACTATCAAAATTTATTTGACAAAAACATGTGACATGCCTAAATATGGTCATGATGACATCACATCATGACCATATATAGGTACATCATGACTATAGTGTCTATATGTGGCACAAAACCCAAAGGAAAATGAGAATTATAGGATAGCAGACTTGCCACAAGTCTCTAATTTATAGATTTTTCCTAGTATTAGCTTATTTCGAAGAGCACCCACCAGTGTCGGTTTATGTCGAGAAACTTATGTTGTTAATTTGGATGCGACAAGAAAAGTATACTATGGAATGCCATTGGCGTTCCATATTTTTAAGCATTTTCACTGATTAAGACAAAGTTTAGGGACTAGAACCCAGTCTAGATAGCTGCAGAAAGATTTTCTTGTAAAAGTAAAAAAAATATTAATTTATTCATATCTTTTTTCCTTTCAACAATTAGGTGCTAAATATCAATGCCTTTGGAAATAGTTGGAATATTTATCCGGGACCATCATTTCCAGAAGGAGAAGATCCTTATGAGCCTTGTAGGGACAGTCCATTTGCTAATGAAGCCTATGAAAAATGCAGCATCCTCAGTTTACAAAATGGTAATTGTTACTTTTTTTTAATTATGGAAAAAAAAAAATATGGAGTGTACTTACCATATACTAAGTTATACTAAAAGACCAGTCTATTTCGTGAATACTTACCTGGATAACCGACTAATTGCCATTGTTCCCAAAACGGAACACCCCTTCGAAAAAAAATGGAACAGTCCGACCCAAGGCATTACCTGTTTATACATGACCACCATTAAGATATGATTTATAAAGCACACATATCCACTGCAGTAGTGCTCAGGGCGCTACAGTAGGATGGAACCAACAATTGCTGGGAACCTTAAAGCTACCAGAAAACAAACACCTCCAACATCATTATCGTTTACAGGCAATTTGAGGTACAGGGCCGGCCTATTCATAACTCACAGGTGCTCAAGGAATGGTGATAACTAACTTAACAAATTAACTTGGAAACTTCAAAAGCAGCAGACAATAGATGTGTCCGCTGCCTTTGAATTATGAGAGGATAAAATAGGCTGTTGACACTTGATAAAGAAATTTTCATACTGTAATTGATAAATTTTGCCATTTTTTTTTTTCAGGACCATTCTCCATTGGAAATATCCTTTTGAATGCTGAGCCATTCTTTTCCAGTTGTTTGTACGATGCATGTGCCTCTTTACCAGACGAAAGTGTTCTGTGTGATGATATAGCAATTTATGCAAAGAGATTAAGTCAATTTCGAATTCCTTATGACTTGTGGCGGTCTGATTCTTTCTGTCGTGAGTCTTTTATTACTTAGTTTTTTTTTTATTTTGTACACTCATGTGTGCTAATCATGTCATTTACTAATAAAAATATAAAAGCATGTTTGCATCTAATTTATTTTGACGCATTTACATCCTTTTATTGAAGAGGAATGTTAATTCTTTTCTTTCGCTTCCCTGAGCTTCCTGCACTACAAGCAAGCAAGAATCTCTCGGAAAGTAATTCATCTCCCACAAATTCATAATATTTGCATGTTTTTACTACTTTATTATCAATTGTCTCATGGAAGTCAGTGCCAATGCGCAGCAAAATTAAATTAAATATGTTAAGAATGCTCACTCAACCTAATCTCCCAGAATTGATTTCTTCCAACATTGAACCCCTGTTGTTTTGGGCAATTTCCCATAATTATATATAAAAAAAAAGAAAAAAAAGCAGTATTGCATACAAGTCTTATAATAGAAAAATTAAACTATTTATTACTAATTACGCATTTTTTTTTGTTTTATATATCTGAAGCTCCTAAATGTCCCATCAACTCTCACTACACTTTATGTGCTACAAGTTGTCCTGCAACCTGTTCCAAGCCAACTGTGTGGTCATGGCTTTGTAGGTTCCTCTGCAGTGAGGGCTGTGAATGTGATGACGGATATGTTTTGGATGGTTCCGAGTGTGTGCTCCCCGAAAGCTGTGGGGGTTGTATGCTTGGAGAAAGTTATATAGAGGTAGCTAATCTCAGAATTGTTTTGAGTAAGGAAACAAAACAATATATGATTAACTTAGGAAACAAAATATATGCAGTACTTTCAAGTTAGAAGCACAATATGTACCCAAATTGGTGTTTATTCCTTGAGATTTTTTATGACCTTCAGGATGATCAAAGCTTTGTGACTCAAAATTGTAGTGAAATATGCAGATGTGAAGATGGAGACATTTCCTGCACCTCACTGGGATCTTGCCATTCAAATGCTACATGTGATGTTGTAGAGGGAGATTACAATTGCATCTGTAATGATGGCTTTTTTGGTGATGGTAGGGACTGTCAAGGTAAGAGAAGTCTGCTAGATAAGCAGATTTTTACCATTGTTCCTTAACAAAACCACCCCATGTAAATAACAGAACCATTTGTCCCAGTGTGTCACATTGTCCTCCTCATTCTCTTTTCAATGTTAGCTTTAAGTTCCTTTGTCTATTTCATGACTTCTTATCTGGATAAACATACTACCAATGTTCCTTTTACTAGAACCATTTGTAATATGTTGTTAATGTGTTAACATAGATAGTTCTATTACGTTTGAGTTGATTTTTTCAGGTATTTCATATATTTCACTGCTGATAAACCATGTGTTACATTTCCTCTGCTCCCTGGTAAATAATCTTAGTCTGAGGGTGGAGGTGTTATTGAGAAGGAGATCACTCTAAAAGCACCGTGCACGCAGAGCTATGCAAATGAACAAAGAACAAAGCTGCCACAGCGTGGGAAGAACATTTGCACGATGCCTTTGAAGTCTAATGTGTTCCCTGCCACCAAATGCTCAGCAGGCTTTGATTACCAAAAAATAGAACACAGTGAAATGAAGAGCACGTTCTTTTCTCAATGCGCACTACTTACAGTCAATCACTATGGCTGCGCAATCGTTTCCATCTTGAAGCTAATACATTGATCTTTCAAGAAATACCAAACATAATAATATTTTCTTAAAAAAAGAGTTTCGAATTTAATTAAACATTTACATCAGCTTTAAAAGTATGGTATATTGCAACTTTAATTTCCATAAATTGGATAAAACTCGATAATTCTAATTTTAACAGATATTAATTAAGGAATGATGGAGGATTATAATAAACTATGTCATTTTAGGGTTAACGAGGGTTAACTATTCAAAATTCAATCAAGAATCAGAGAAATTTTCAGTTTTACGCTGCCTTTAAGCTTTGTAGTCAAACCAATCGATCTTTAGACAAAATTATAATGAACACAGAAGTAATTTTAACAGAAATATTTGCGGAATCTGTTCCTGAAATATACACATAATAACATACTAAAAGTCTGAAAAAATCCAATCAGGGGAACATTGTTTATGATTTAAAATTTAATGGTTTAAAATCAAATGCTTTATCGCATAACTGCTGTGCTGAAGCGTATAAATGCATGTCGTTGCCAAGTTGTTGCTAATGAAAAAAATGTGAATTATAGGGTAATACGCCCGCATGCTATCCAAAGGCGGGGAACACATTGGTTTGTCGCCTCAAACGGATCTGTTGCTGAGTGATCTCCTTCTAAATAATACCTCCATGGTCTGAGGTACTTGTGGGTGGAAAAACAACTTTCAAACTTCTGCGCTTTTAGCTGTGTCCTGACTCTTCAGCATGCCAACCACTTCCACAATCAATAAGTTTTCTTCATCTGTTAACTATTTATTTGTATTCTGTTGTTAATTTTACAGTTGATCCTTGTGAATCTACACCATGTATGAACAATGGACAGTGTGTCAGTGATGGACCCAATTTTGTGTGCCGCTGTACTCTGGGATGGTCTGGCACCCTCTGTGAAGATGGTAAGATAACATTTAATGTAATTTAATGCAAATTTTCTTGCAATCTTGTGAAAGTGGTATTAGCTGAATTGCTGTCCTATATTTTAATGAATATAAAAATCAATAGTATTTTCACTTTTCATTTAATTTAAGTCATTGCATACCACAAACATACATAGCAGAGAGACAGTAAAATACTACTAAGGATATATTGTATTTTTATATATTGATCTTATTTTGATTTTGTAAATAGGAGAAGCTCAGTGTTCAGCTTATGGTGATCCTCACTACACTACCTTTGATGGACGTAATTTTGACTACATGGGAGAGTGTGTTTATACACTGATTGATGTATGTGGTGTGTCCACTGAACCTAGCTTTAGAATTGAGCAGAAGAACCAGAAGTTTATTCTAAATCCAAGAGCTGCAACTACCAAGGAACTTTACATCTATATCTATGGATTTGTGAGTAATAATCCTAAAAAATATATAAAATTATCTTTATAGTAGATAACTTAAGTAAAAAATGTTGAACAGAAATGTAAATATATTTTTTGTTTCTTTGTTGGAATATAGGAAATTGATTTCCTGCAAGGGAAGCAAGTAAGAGTTAATGGCAGAGATGTGACAACGCCACATACGCCTGCTCCAGGACTGGATATAAAACTTATAGGAAGCAATGTGGTAAGTCTCTAAAGTAAATTAAATAAAAATAGAATTGTTAAACTTAATAGACTTACAGTAGGCTATTTTCTATTTTTGGAATAAAACGATCATTTCTATATACCTTTAAAGAAATGTTAAGATTTCTAAAATCTTTTGTTTACTACTGATTTGTTAAATCCTGTCTATCTTTTATTATAAATTACGGTACTTTCATTATATAGAATGAATAATAATATTAAACATGAATATTAATATTATTACTGACAAACTTAACAACAAACATTTTTGTTTGTTGTGTCCAACTTTAATAATTATATATTAAGGATATGAATATTATTTCACTCATGTTGAACATTTTGCATTTATCTTTATTGTCAGGTTCTCCAAACAAACTTTAGTCTTGAAGTGTCATGGAATGGCGTATATGATTGGAATGTGATTTTATCTGCTGCTTATGCTAATAAAACGTGTGGTTTGTGTGGAAATTACGATGAAGATCCTAGCAATGACTTCACTACATCCGATGGAGAATTGGTAAAGCTCAAATTTTGTGTGACAAATACATGCTGTTTTCCCATATGGGCATTATATGACATCATCATGTCCTTATATGGATATGTTATTAGATATATGGGCAATTCACATAAGTAAAATTTAATAAATTTCTTGTGAAATTAGAGTAAACAAGAGAAATTAACATTAATTTAATTTAATTCAATAGGTAAGCAGTCCAGCTTTGTTCGGTAACAGTTGGATTGCTAACGAAGATTGTAATTCACTTGAAGATCCTGAAAATGACAACTACGACCCATGTGCAGAAAATCCAAACAACGAAGCTAGAGCAAGAGAACTTTGTAATATAATCATCAACAAACAAGGTAGAGAGTTCGGGAGTTATATTAAATGCACAATAACATTAATTTACATAAAAACTATGATAAGATTTGTTATTTATCTCTAATATATGTGGTTTTTTTTGTAGGTGATGCAATTGATACTGCAGGGAGCGAGTTCCTTTTTGCTTTTCCTGGTCAACGTGTACCTGATGAAGCAGCGCCAAAAGTTATAATAACTGGAACTAGTCTTAGCAGCACTAGCGTGACAATTTTTACTTCCAGCAATGTGTTCTTGACATCAGTAGACATCGATGGCAAAGTGACGCAAGTAGTTGATCTTCCATATGATGTAGTGGCGTGTGAAGAATTGAAATGTAGTAATGCAGTCCGTGTCACATCCAGTCGTAATGTAATCTTACAAGCTGCAATAAATCAAGAATACACAATAGAGTCATTCTTAGTATATCCTGTTGATAGTCTAGGAACAGAGTTTATTTTGGTGTCATATCCAGAACCAATGTGCACAGTAACAGCCACTAAAGATAACACAGTTGTTTCATATAACTCAACTGAGGAAATTGAACTTTCTGAAGGTGAGTCTTTCCGAATCGTCAGTGACGAGGACTTAACTGGATCGAGAATGATGTCAAACGAACCAATTTTTGTAACGTGTGGAGGAAATTGCAGGTCAACGGCAGGTGGATATTGCAGCATACTGGTTGAAAGTGTACCTCCAGTTAATACATGGGGATGGAACTTTACGGTTAGCTCGTTCAATGATTACATATTACGTATTGTGGCATCGGAGGACAATACAGCGGTGGAAGTCGAAGGTGAAGATCCTGTTGATCTTTCAACTGGTGGAAGCTTCTTTGATTGGGACATAGACGAGACTGATGCCGTTTTCATTAGCTCCAGTAAACCAATCATGGTTGTACAGTTTGTGGAAGAAGAAGAGGACTTAGACCCCGCAATGTTAATTGTTCCTCCCCACAGTCAGTATATTGGTGAAGTTTCATTCATGCCTCCTGAAATGATCTTCCAAGATTCTTTGATAAGCTACATCAGCGTGACACTTCCATGTGAATATCAGTCTGGATTGATTATTGATGATCAGAGTTTATTTGACGAGGATGACAGTGAAGATGCATCTGGTATGTGTGTAAAGACTTACAGTGTGGAAAATTCAGGACAGTACAGGATTACCCATCGTTTGCAAGATGTACGCTTCTTCGTAATGGTTTACAGTTCTGACTTTGGAGTATCCAGGGCAATTCACACTAGTAAAATTGAGTGAATTAACATTAATTTAATTTGATTCAATAGGTAAGCAGTCCAGCATTGTTCGGTAACAGTTGGATTGCTAACGAAGATTGTAATTCACTTGAAGATCCTGAAAATGACAACTACGACCCATGTGCAGAAAACCCAAACAACGAAGCTAGAGCAAGAGAACTTTGTAATATAATCATCAACAAACAAGGTAGAGAGTTCGGGAGTTATATTAAATGCACAATAACATTAATTTACATAAAAACTATGATAAGATTTGTTATTTATCTGTAATTTATGTGGTTTTTTGTAGGTGATGCAATTGATACTGCAGGGAGCGAGTTCCTTTTTGCTTTCCCTGGTCAACGTGTACCTGATGAAGCAGCGCCAAAAGTTATAATAACTGGAACTAGTCTTAGCAGCACTAGCGTGACAATTTTTACTTCCAGCAATGTGTTCTTGACATCGGTAGACATCGATGGCAAAGTGACGCAAGTAGTTGACCTTCCATATGATGTAGTGGCGTGTGAAGAATTGAAATGTAGTAATGCAGTCCGTGTCACATCCAGTCGTAATGTAATCTTACAAGCTGCAATAAATCAAGAATACACAATAGAATCATTCTTAGTATATCCTGTTGATAGTCTAGGAACAGAGTATATTTTGGTGTCATATCCAGAACCAGTGTGCACAGTAACAGCCACTAAAGATAACACAGTTGTTTCATATAACTCAACTGAGGAAATTGAACTTTCTGAAGGTGAGTCTTTCCGAATCGTCAGTGACGAGGACTTAACTGGATCGAGAATGATGTCAAACGAACCAATTTTTGTAACGTGTGGAGGAAATTGCAGGTCAACGGCAGGTGGATATTGCAGCATACTGGTTGAAAGTGTACCTCCAGTTAATACATGGGGATGGAACTTTACGGTTAGCTCGTTCAATGATTACATATTACGTATTGTGGCATCGGAGGACAATACAGTGGTGGAAGTCGAAGGTGAAGATCCTGTTGATCTTTCAACTGGTGGAAGCTTCTTTGATTGGGACATAGACGAGACTGATGCCGTTTTCATTAGCTCCAGTAAACCAATCATGGTTGTACAGTTTGTGGAAGAAGAAGAGGACTTAGACCCCGCAATGTTAATTGTTCCTCCCCACAGTCAGTATATTGGTGAAGTTTCATTCATGCCTCCTGAAATGATCTTCCAAGATTCTTTGATAAGCTACATCAGCGTGACACTTCCATGTGAATATCAGTCTGGATTGATTATTGATGATCAGAGTTTATTTGACGAGGATGACAGTGAAGATGCATCTGGTATGTGTGTAAAGACTTACAGTGTGGAAAATTCAGGACAGTACAGGATTACCCATCGTTTGCAAGATGTACGCTTCTTCGTAATGGTTTACAGTTCTGACTTTGGAGTATCCACGGCCCTTCCTTTAGGATATGGGTTGGAAACAACTGGAGACAGTGATAATGAAATACTTCCAAGTAGTGAAGGTATATTTGTATTATGTGCTTATATTATTGATATCATTTATTATATACTTATAGTATTAATTATTACAATTTTTATATTACAATACTTGTTTTAAAATCAAAATATATTTTTCTCCGATTTTTAAACTTTTAGCTCCTTTTGTGCTCTGTCATGATGAAATTGACCCTGAAAATGCATTTGAAGGTTGTGTGTACGACATGTGCGCAACATTACCTGATGAAAGCTCAGTTTGTGGAGATGTTGCCACTTATGCAAGTAGATGCTCAGGTTCCGGAATCACAATTGCATCTTGGAGAACAGAAGATTTTTGTGGTAATTTTGCTGTTAATTAATTTTAAGCTGAGATGAACAATATAAACAAAAATCTAAACATTTAACAGTCTATTTCTTGAACGAATTGACAAATAAAAAAATTTAGGTCTTTAATACTGTAGTTTGCAATTCATATCTAGTTTGATACTTACTTTCATAATATAAACAACCGATAAATGCATTTCTTGTGGAATATTAACTTCGAGCATAATAGAAAATAGTGGATTCACCTATTTCGCCTATTCAACACCTAACATTTAATTTATTCTTATGCTCAAGTGGTAAGTTTTACAAGGCATTTTTCTGTTTATCCAGTTAAGTGTCTCACTAGGGTAATACGTTTTCTTAACTTTGCTTGCAGCTCCTGAGTGTAATGAAGGAGCAACGTACAGGACATGTGCTTCAGCATGTCCTTTGACATGTTCAGACATCGGAAATGAGTCAGATGAGCTCTGTCCAAGAATGTGTGTAGAGGGATGTGAGTGTTTACCTGGCAGATATCTTAGTGGCTCAGATTGCGTCTTACCGGAGGACTGTGGTTGCTCTGACGGCAACAACTATTATGAGGTATGAAATCAATTTTAAAAAAAATATATTACAAGTAAAAAAATATAAAAAATAAATATAATCACAGTAAATTTTATTCTATAATAAATCTAAAAAATCCAATTTAAATCTTTTGGTTTTTTGAATTTCAGGCAGGAGCCAGTTTTGTTAAAGAAGACTGTTCTGAAGTGTGTACATGCGCAAGAGGTGAACTTAATTGTGAAGACATGATTTGCGATTCAAATTCTGAATGTAGAGTCGATAATGGTCAGCGTGGTTGCTATTGTTCATTCCCATTTGTAGGAGATGGATTGACTTGTAACAGTAAGATTTATTTTATTCATTTAGATAAATAATATTGTGTTTGGCATAACAGTGGGATAGGGTCGTGTTTCTATTAATATTTGTAACGTTGTGTTGTTTTCTTCCAGTTGATCCTTGTCTGGAGGATCCGTGTGGACAGAATGGAAAATGTGAAGTCAGTGACCAAGACCCACGTGGGTATGTCTGCATCTGTAACAGAGGATGGATGGGTGATAACTGCAATGAAGGTCAGTAAACTAATATGTGATGATGTTTTCTATTTTATTAAGTTGTTTTGCATAATCTTAATTCATCCAAAATGTTAAATTTCACAGGAACTGCAATTTGCAGTGCTCATGGTGACCCTCACTACACTACATTTGATGGCTTACGGTATGATTTCCAGGGAGATTGTAAATATATTCTTTGTCAAAGCACAAATTCTATTGATCCACCATTCACCATTCTTCAACAAAATGTAAGAGTACCCAACTCTGCTGTTGCAAGGACACAAGAAGTAACAATAATTGTCTATGATACGGTGAGTCATATCAGATTACCTCTGATTATTTTACCCTTTTACAATTTATAAGGATATTGCTTAATACATGAAAGAAAGAGGTAAAACCCGAAATTTTAAATTATAATTATGAATTTCTGTTTCTACAGGTGATTGAGTTTAAACAAAATAAAGTTTTACTGATTAATGGAATTGATATGTCACCTCCTGCTAGTCCTGTTCCTGGGCTGAATATAGAATTAGCTGGTCGTTATTTGGTAAGTCACTACTTTTCCTGAAATTAAAGAAACATATAAACAAAATAAGGTAATATGAATTTTATTTACAAATTTTTTTTTTACTTACCAGATGCTCCAAACGAACTTTAGTCTGGAAGTTAAATGGACTGGAGGTAGTGATGTAGATATTTCCCTTTCGACACGATTCTTCAATTCAACACAAGGCTTATGTGGAAATTTGGACAATGACAGAGAAAACGAGTACATTACAAGCAATGGAGAACAAGTGAGAACATAATTTATTTATTTTTAAATTTTAATTTATTGAAGTTTACAGAACCATTTTCATATGCTGTACATATTTTTATTTGTTTTTAGACTGAGAGTATCAATATGTTTGGCAATAGCTGGGCTTATGATCCAGATAACTGTGAGGGTGAAATGGGTGATGATCCTCCAGATCCATGTGGTGATAATCCTGGCAAAGAAGCAGAAGCTCAAACAAAATGTCAGATCATTACTGACAGTACTGGTTAGTTTTCTTATTGTTATCGTTGTTTATTCCTGGTTCTTCCCTTGTTTTTTTTAAAATTTAATGTCATATTGTTTGATTTTATTCCAGGTCCATTCCAGAACTGCCATAGTGTAGTTCCACCTGAATCATATTATGACAGCTGTGTTTATGATTTGTGTGCCACTTTACCAGCTGAATCAGATCTTTGTGAAGGTGTTGGCAAGTATGCAGGAGCATGTTTAGACAGTAACATTGAAATTGGAGTTTGGAGAAGAACAAATTTCTGTCGTAAGTTCATTAAAACTGAATTAAACCTTTGTTGAGATAAGATACCTGTAAATGGCAACGAACTATGAATTAAAATATTTTATGTATTTATTTGTAGCATTGGATTGTGAAGCTAATGCACAGTACAATCCATGTATGAAACCCTGCCAGGCAAGTTGTTCCCAACCACCTAGAAGCTGTAATGAACCTTGTGTGGAGGGCTGTGAATGCAACGATGGTTTTGTGCTCAGTGGAAGCCAGTGTGTCAGACAAAGTGATTGTGGCTGTCAATATGGTTCCAGATACATTGAGGTAATAATCATTCAATTTAATCATTGCAGTGTACATACAGTGGTGAAATGGAATGAGAATTATTGCTTCTTGTAAGGTTATAGCATTTAGTATATATTGTAATGTCTCCATTTTAGCCTGGTTCAAGCTTTACCAGAGAAGACTGTTCAGAAAGATGTGACTGTAGTGGGGGTGGTGTCATTAGCTGTACTAACTTCACCTGTCATCGAGAAAGTACATGTGGCCCTGTTGATGGAGATTATGGATGTATCTGTAATGAGGGATTCCTTGGAAATGGACTTGAGTGTCAATGTAATTTACTTTTTTTTAACAAGTGCTTAAAGAGTCATATAATTGTTATTGTTTTTGAGCTTTTTTAGTCTATTTCGTGAATGCTTACCTGGATAAACCGACTAATTGCCATTGTTCCCCAAAACGCTTTTTTAGTCTATTTCGTGAATACTTACCTGGATAACCGACTAATTGCCATTGTTCCCCAAAACGCTTTTTTATTTTATCTGATTTTGTTCAAAATATATTTGCAGCTGATCCGTGTTTTGTAAATCCTTGTCAAAATGGCGGTACATGCACTTCAACAGGAAGTAGCTTTGTTTGTACCTGTCCAGCTGGTGTCACTGGAGAGACATGTACCTCACGTAAGTATAGCAATATCTAACAGTGTGTAGTAAATCTGTCTCTTAT